GCTTGTGATCTTTAAAGACAGTGTCCGGGCAAAAACTCGATTTTAAAATTTTGTGCTTACCCGGGCCTATTCACTATGCTGAATCCGAAAATCCACATTGGAAGGCGCGAAAATGGCGAAAAAGGTCTCTAACGCAGGAGGGAAATCAAAAGTGGGCGGGGTCTTCCCCACTGTGAATTTCGCGGTCCCAGCTTCTGGAGCAATTTTCTCGAATCCGTTAGCCGCCCTGACATCATCACCGGTCAAGTGCAAACGAATGACTTGAAACCGGAATCAAAAAGATCGCCCCCGAAGCTGGGATCGTGAATTCACAGTGGGGAAAACCCCGCCCACCTGCTATTTTCCTCCTGAGTTAAAGCCATTTTTCGCCGTTTTCGCGTTCTTCAATGTGGATTTTCGGATTCAGCATAGCGAATAGGCCCGGGTAAACACAAAATCTCAAAATCGACTTTTTGCCCGGACACTGCCTTTAAATATTGAATCCGACCCCCACGCAACATCGGACTCTACCTATGCCTTTGATATGCTTGCGTTGAAACGGGGATGTTTATGACCATTTTTGCGAAAGTGGTTTCAGAGCAATTTTGATTTTTCCTCTCACGTTCTTGGGATCATATCAAAATTACTCCGTAATCAATGGCGATGTTCTTCTCCACCTTATTCTTGTCTCTCTCCACTTTAGCGAAAATAAAAATTTCCTTGATTGAAGTGCGTAAGAAAGCTAAGCAAGTAACTGATTTTTATTTTTTAGTATCAAAGGATTACCGTTTAATAAAAATCGACTAATTAACGAATACTCAAAGCCTGGATCAGGCTTTCCAATTTTATAATATAAGGAAGTTTTAACGTCGTCCTCACATTCCAGAAATTCTAACGAAATAAAAAAATCAGAAAATTTCTTCAAAAATATCACCTGAAATGTCACTAATTAAATATATGGTTCCAGATAATTTCTTTTTTCGTGGAATATAATGCTGTCAAAGCAATCCTTAGAAGAGACTTTTCACAGTTTTCAGTTGTTGTTTTTTTTACAGTTTTTGCTCCACCTGAGTGGCAAGATGGGAACCTAAAATGGCAAAAATAGAACAGCGAACATCCACAACAACATAAGAAAAAGAACAAGATTTTCTGTTTTCATAAAGACGAAACGTGCAGCGAGTTTATTGAAAATGACCGATTTCGAATATTCAGCTTTCATTTTATCCTCGACTTCTGGAATAAAAAACAATCAGCTTGAAAGGCGCTTCAGAAGCAACATCGTGTTTATCATACTTTTCCTCTCAATTCTGCGCGAGTAGTCCTAAAACTAAGGGGGAAACCTACGAGATTTTATCCTAGTTGCCTTTTTTGAATATATGCTGCAAATTCTTTAAGGCAAAGCGTCCTAAGAAAATAAGAGTTTTGCAAACAGACAATATGAGCAAACTGGATAACAGTTGAGCAAAACGTTCACTGTTTTTCATATGCTAATGCGAGAACAAACCTGTTGAGATTTCAGAAAATTGCAAACTTCACTTGTCAATTTCCTCCAACAGCGCAAACACATCCTAAACGCTAGCTCGAATTGGCTCAACTTTAGAAAAGCGTCGAGGAAAAATAGTGAGGGGGTGGGGGGGGGGGGGGAACGAGTGAGCTTAGAACAGAATTTTTTTTTTTCGAATAACGCGGAGTGACCTTAGCTACTAGAAATTTTTCTAGGACCCTCTCGAAATTTTATAGGCTTACATTCCCAGCATTATGAAGAAAAGTTGTTATGACAAGTTGCAAAGGTATGAGGGTTTTATAAATTTTCACAAGTTATTCTAATAATTGCAAGGAAAAAAAGTAAATAGTTCGTTTACACATCCTCTCCCCGTCCAGCTTTAGCTAGCGGTGAACAGTGAAATAAAAGTTTTTCAATAAACCTGGGAAACGAATACCGATAAGATGAATGTTATAGGAAAATTCTTCGGTTTTCTGCAAGGTTAAACAGTGATATTCTTCTAGCAAAACCCTTGAAATGAGTACCATTTCAACCTTTTGCACCACTCGCATGACGATCGTAGCGAGAATATAATGGAATTTGCCACTTCATAAAAGTTCCTCAAATTAAGCCGGTGGTTCATGAGAAAAAGGCCACTTATTTGTAATGATGCAGAAATCAAAAATTGACAGCTATAGAAATTGCATCTTCAAATCCGATAAATTCTAAAAATTGGAATTTTATATCCCTTACTCCTCCATCCTTTTCCCGTTCACCCTCGTTCAAATGCCTCATGTGACTGTAATCTAATCTCACAAAATTGAAAATCAGCTCAGTCATTCGCTTCTTTTTGGCATACAGCTGTATCCATATAATTACACCATTTGTCATTTCGGCGACGTTAGGTGACTAAGCGTTCGTTGCAGATATTCGCTATAATAGTGCAACACTTCTATGGAATATATTTGGAAAATCTATTTTAAGAAGGGCTGGGAGAATGAATGGCTTATTCTGGGATTGAAAAATGCTCACGTTGTTGTTGTTAATTATATTTTTGCAAAAGACAGTGCAAAAGACATATCCATAGGTGTTTTTGATATCATCCCTACTTTCGAAGCAGATTCATGCGAAATGGCTTGTTCCGTAGCCCTACGGTAATTTTACATGTGCCACTAGAATGTCCATCGTCGAATAGCAGTTGTCTGCAGCATAGAGCCATTTTAGATGTCTTTTATTTCCACACTAATTTCCGAGATATAGTCGGAGTCCGTGCTATGAAAGTCATTACCGTACTCCTACAGTAATCCTACATGCATCAACGTCCATTATCAGAAGAAGTTTTGTTTGAAATGAAGTTGCTGTATCCTACTGAAGTCACGTCCACATCCACTAGTGGATGCCTAATAAGCACCTGAGGAACACTGCGACTCATTACCGTACTCCTACAGTAGCAACCCACTACAATCCACCAATGTCCATTTTCAAGTAGCATTTCGGCTGCAGTAGGAAATTCTCCTGTATCGTTCAGATATCGCTGTCCGCACGCTAGTGAATGCCTAATAAGAACCTGAAGAACATTGCGACAGTCCAAACAAGCTTGTCCACTCGACCCCGCCCGTTTGGACCAACACTTTCTCCCCCGCGTTAGCGGCATATGTGCTCGCATGGGGTTTCGGGTTCGATGACCTCCTTGAGATGTGCTGTATTGAAGTGTAACGACTCGTATCGTAATGATTGAATCACAACCAACACTCTCTATCGGCCAGTACTTTTTTCCGGACTCTGCGCATTCATCGGCGTTTGGGTGGTGCACAACACATTATACACAGGGTGTGTAGGGTGTGTTTTCTCGTCTTCTCATCGGGGGGGGGGGGGGGGGAGCGAGAGCGGGGCCCCGCGCAGCCCGTCACCCACCACGCCCACCCGAAGAGGAGAGAGAAGGCCAGACCCCACCCCAGCCCGACACCTTTATTATGATATCACAACCAACGGTCACTTCAGCCCCCAACAGTCGCGGCCAGGGAGCTAGTCGAGCTAGCACGTTCTAGGCACGGCTAGAACGTGCTAGCCAGCGCTAGCAGTCATCCCCTATACCTCCCCCACCCCTTCATTGCTCTTTGTGAACCTGTGCTATAAATTTGGCACTGCCTTTCGCATCACACACACAAAACGCCACGCTGCGACGTAACGCGCAGACGCTGCCGCCATTGTTTTCTATCGCCATCGCTGCACGTTTTACAACAATTTATTTTACTAAATAGGTAGAAGTAAACTCGTCCAGGCATGAGTAATCACTCCTCATCATTTTCTCACCTCTCCCCTTGTCATCCATCCCACAATTGTTGTTCTTCTGCAACCTATACGTATCGCATTCGACCACAAACACCACATACTTTCCTGTTTTCCACCACACCTCGCCGCTTCTTGTACGAAGCGTTTTTTTTTCAATCGTGAAATCGATTAAAATGCCTTTGTCATCTTGTCTATTTACGCATAGTTCAAAAGTATTGATGGTTTGCTCAACGGATAACGACTGGAAGTTGTTTTGATGCTTCTTAGTCACCAACTGTCCGTTCACACATTCCATATTCTGCTGTCCTTGGTGTTCTCGTGTGTTCTATGGAAAAGCATCAGTCATTCGTCCATATCAAAAACAGCTTTTTCTAGAAGAAAAAGTTACCTTTCATAAACTTCTATTATGCTGTCAATAAAACCGAACATCAAGTACGGTCTCCGAAAACGTTTTCGATCAAGTATGTATGTGCAATCTTTCGCTCTGATCTTTCACCTCTTCTTTTTTTCTTCTATGTTTGTGCTGAAATTCAGCATAGATATTCACAGCAACAAACTAGATCGAAATTGGACAATGAGTCTCTTTTTCTTTGTAGTTTTATATCACTTTTGTATAGGCAGTATAATCCAATCCCGACACAACCATTTCCAAGGAAAGAATGGAACTTTTCACCTATGTGCTTTTTATTTTTAGTAGCTGCTTTTCTCATTTTGTGCTTCCCCTCTCCTATACCAATCATGCAAGCAATTTAACAGAAGTGTAACCAAAAGTAAATTTTGTCTAGTTTTTGAAGCATCAACAATCGACGCTCCGCATCTGCAGTTACACGAACAAATTAACCAAAAAATTAATGTACTACAGTCCTGTGTATCTCTAAAATTAGATAGTGTTCGTTGAGACAGAAACGATTTTGTCGCTATTGACGAGACAGAGAGAGAGAATAGGAGACGTTTAATGGGGCTGGTCGAAGGTGGCGGAGAAAAGAGAAGAGAGCAGGTAGCGGGGTGACTCGTCCCCAGTTACGGGGACTAAGGGGGTACCGTCAATTTTCGAGGTCATCCCTGATTAGATGTCGACCGTTCATTTTGCGTAAAAACGATCTTCATAGAGGAAAGAAGTCGTGTTTCGAATTGTCGTTCTGCTCCGTTTATCTCCGCTAATTGCGCCATTTCCGCTAGCAATTTCTTAGTAATCGTCGTACCTATTTTCCATAACTTTCTTGCTAGAAATTTCTGATTTAATTTCTTCAGAATGACGGAAGAATACCGCAGTACGATCAGTTCTCGACCAGCGTTCAATCGAACGACAACGAGCAGCACTCAGAATTACTCCACGCCAGGTTTGTGTCACTATCCCAAAAAACGAGATCGAGCATGCAGAAAACGCCGATTGAATGAGGTTTTTTTCTATAAAATGGTCCGAATGCAATGTGAATCGATGGACTAGTATAACAACATCTTTGCTTACTCATTATATAATAATTCGAACGATTAAAGCATCAAGTTGTTCTGAAACCATGAACGTTAGTGACTAATGCCAATAAGAACTTTTGGAAAAGGCATAGAATTCAAGACCAGTTCTCTTCAATTCTAAATAACAGTTAAGGACAAAATAACTATAAATAGTAGTTCCATAGACTAGGGGTATCTGAGAAATTGTTAGATGGTTCTAAATTCGAATGTATTTGCGCAAACAGAAGTACATGTCTAGAGTACAGATAACGAAAAATTCCAAAGAATCCAAAATTTCTCTAAAAATCTAGATTCTCTACAGTTTTGATATAACTGATGAATGCAATGTATCTATTTGATCACGGAAATTCATCATGCAGGAGGTTTTTTTGCTTTACTGGAACACTATTTAAGTCAGGAATTCGCAAAAAAATCCAGTCTATCTACGAGACTTCTATCAACAATTCTATTCTAAATTAGTACCTCACTGCGACGATCTGTCACGATAAATACGTCGCGACAGAAAAGTCCAATAAAATCCGTTTTTTTCGCCCAAGGGTTGGGGGCTCATGTCAATTGTATTTGGGGCTACTTTTTAGGGGCTCATGTCAGCTGTATGTTGCCCCACTTTATCTTAACAGAATTTTTGAAGTTTGCGCGCTGAAAAAGAGCAAAAAAAAGTTCACACCAATGCTTAAAAAAGAATGAATTGTAAGTTGATTTTTTTCTATTCCAGGCTCAGGCAATCGCGTTTTGAAAATCGTTACGGAAATGTCTTCATCATCCATCGCTAGCGGTTTGTCGCCATATGGCCAGAATGCCGCTTCAACTATCCGTGATGCTCGTGAAAGAGAAAAGAAAGAGATGAGCGATCTGAATGACAAGCTTGCCAGCTATATCGAGAAGGTTTGGGCTTTACTAGGGCTCGACGAAATTTGGAAATAAGCCAAGAAAATTCCATTTAGGTCCGCTTCCTTGAAGCTCAAAATCGCAAACTGGGAGCTGATCTTGATATGTTACGCTCTCGTTGGGGTAAAGATACAAGCAGCGTTCGTAGCATGTACGAAGGAGAACTGTCTCAAGCCAAGAAGGTAAAACAGGCTGAATTTGATGCATGAAAATATAGAATTTATAAATTTTCTCTCCTACAGCTGATTACTCAAACCGGAAAAGAAAAGGACGACTTGGAAAAGGACATTCGCAAGCTCCAAGATGAACTGAACGAATACCGCCGCAAGTAGGGAGAATTTGAAAGATTCATATCTGCTTTCTATAAATATATCTGATAAAACATCTTGTTTTTTTTTTCAAGATTCGAAGAGGCCACAAAAGCCCGGCTCGGAGATCGCGAAAAAATCGATGAACTGCTCGTAAAACTTTCGAACATCGAAGCCGAAATTAACCTGCTCAAAAGACGCATCGCCCTACTTGAAGAGGAAATCTCTCGCCTCAAAAAAGAAAACATGCGACTCATGTCCGAACTCCAACGCGCTAGAACAGTACGTGATGAGCGTTCTATGATTAGTAAATGTGTTTGTTCTGAGCCGCCGAACTAGTTCCGGCTCCTCTCGAACTCATCTCCCACGCTATTTTTGCTATGATTCATCGTTCATTCTGTCTAGGACCTCGACCAGGAGACGTTGAATCGCATCGATTACCAGAATCAAGTCGCAACACTTCTGGAAGAAATTGACTTCATCAAGAGAGTGCACGATCAGGTAAGTGTTCGCTTTTGGGGTGTAGATGCCCTAGCATGAGTAGGAATTTTATTTTATTTTCAATTTTCAGGAAATCAAGGAGCTTCAAGCTATGGCTGCTCGCGATACCACCAGCGAGAACCGCGAGTTCTTCAAGAACGAGCTGGCCTCTGCCATTAGAGACATCAGAAGCGAATACGACCAGGTTTGTCAAAACCTCTACATCTCAAAATATTTTTTTGGTAATTCGAATGATTTAGATGATGAACACTAACCGCAATGACATGGAATCGTGGTACAAGCTGAAAGTGCAGGAAATTCAAACGCAGAGCGCTCGCCAGAATATGGAACAAGGCTATCAGAAAGACGAAGTCAAGCGTCTTCGCACTCAGCTCACAGATCTTCGTGGAAAACTTGCCGATTTGGAAGGAAGGGTAAGCCTATTGGATCAGTATCCGTGAAGAGCTGCTCGTGCCAGCGCCGTGCTAGAAGATCCAATTCGGCACGGCGTTGGAACGGCGCTGGTATAGTGATTGCATGGGGAGCTCTGAACGCTGCCTAACAACCTAGCCTTGGTAATTGTTATTATGTTTTAGAACGCCCTGCTGGAGAAACAGATCCAGGAGCTGAACTACCAGCTGGAGGATGACCAGAGATCTTACGAAGCCGCCCTCAATGACCGTGACGCCCAGATTCGTAAAATGCGAGAAGAATGCCAAGCTCTTATGGTTGAATTGCAAATGTTGCTCGATACCAAGCAGGTAAACAAGCACTTTTTATTTCCCCGTACTATTGTATAATTTTCCCTTTTCTCTTCCAGACCCTCGATGCCGAAATTGCCATCTACCGTAAGATGCTCGAAGGCGAAGGTGATGGTCCAGGACTTCGTCAACTTGTTGAACAAGTCGTTCGTACGACAGGAATCAATGAAGTTGCTGATACTGGTAAGGGGTGGAGCTGTTGAGTAAAGGGTGTGGTACTGGTTCTGACACCGTGTTTACTTTCTTCAGAAACTATGCGCGTCGTCAAGGGTGAGACATCGAGTAGGAGCTCCTATACCCGTTCAGCAAAAGGAAACGTATCCATCCAGGTAGGTCCTGCGAATTCTTGCGCTATTTTTGATCTACGGTTGATATGTATATGTTGCAGGACCCATCACCTGAAGGAAAATACGTTGTGCTGGAAAATACCCACCGTTCCAAGGAAGAGCCAATCGGAGAATGGAAGCTCAAGAGAAAGATTGATGGAAAACGCGAGATTGTGTATACTCTTCCTCATGACTTCATCCTTCGTGCTGGAAAAAGCGTCAAGGTAAATATCTATGCTAAATATGAAAATCTTGACTGTATTTTCAAAATAATTCCTTGCAGATCTGGGCCCGTGGACAAGGTGGTACCCATAATCCTCCGGAGTCGCTAGTTTTCGATGGTGAAGACAGTTTCGGTGTTGGCTCAAACGTTCAGACAATCCTTTACAACAAAGAAGGCGAGGTATGTTGATGAAGAGGCATTCGATGTGCCAGCGCCGAGCTCGTGCCCTGCCACTGCCGTCGGTCGATCAATACAGGGCGCATCTACGGGCCGCCGGCACCACACTGGCACGGCGCTGGCACGGGGCCAACTCTAAGTGCAGCCTTAGCAGCTTTTCAAAGAGCATAAAGGTTAAAATCTATATATTTTTCAGGAACGTGCCACACACATCCAACGTCAAAGCCAAAGCGCTACATAAAGCTCGCTGTCATTAGAAGATGCCACTACTACTTCACAATGCTTGATCATATCCAGTATATTTACTATGTGCCCATATTTGCCCATAATACATTATCTAATCACTCACTTCAAAAATATCATTACATTATGCATTTGATTTTCTGCATAAGATTATTTCGTGCAGCGTTATCTTCATGCCATTATGGTTTCAAGTGCATTTTTGCTTGAAGCGGGACAGTCGCGTAACGCATTTCATCTCTACAATGCCTTAGATACTATGTGAAGTAAAGAGTTCTGCTTACAGTACTATTTTTTATTGTTTACGTAAAAACACATGTTGGACAATAGTATGGCAATCATGAGGAGTACACCTTCGTCAAGGATAGTTTAAGTTTTTTAAGCCAAAAAAATGCTTCTTATATGATGCATGTCAATTGGAAAACATTTAATTCAATAGCTTGAGGCCCGGAATGGCAAAATTACTTTTGTAGAAAGAGTAATTGATATTGCAAATTAGACATCTGCATTCTTCGTACTTAGTCGATGACAAGGTTTATCGGGCGGCATTAGCAATGCCGTAAAAGCACACATAGTCACCAATCTTACGACAATTTTACAAATATAATCAATTTTTCTGGATTTTCCCCTCTGCTTTCGTCCCTTATAAGCTATCGATAATATAATTTGGCACCCTTTACTTGAGACTACTCCAGTCTGATGACTCTACCACAAACGAGGATCGAAAAATCATCGAGATTATCCAGAACTTTCAAAAATATTTTTTTCATGTGCATCACGTAGAAATTAGAACCAAAAGCCTGGAATTAATCTTCAGACTTTCTAAAACATGTTTTTTGGATGAAATGTGAAATTGAAAAGGTATCCCATTTTAAGAATGCACGATAGCTAAGCGTGCTGTTCATTAATTATTTGGTCAGCAGCGGAAAAGACATTTGATATTTTTTGTACCATCTACACCTTGCGCAGTAAGGAAATATTTTATACCATATACTGAAATACTGGAGATCATTGAATCATGTTTTAATGAGGCCTTCGCTGTACTACTGACAACAAATCTAAATCAGTTTCGAAGAAGGAAGGTTTGTGAACTGTTTACCACGAATGAGAAAATACTATTGATCATGTTACACATAAAACGAGACATCCCTTTTAGAATCACTGCGATAAAATGAGACCATTTCGTATATGTACATAATAAAGGCTGATTCTCTAGTGGAATTCTACGACTTTATTTCAAATGTCAAATCCAATTGTAAACAGTCTGTATGGTAGTATCTTAACTGCACCTTATGGTATTATGAAACTCTCATTCTCATATGCATGTTAGTTAGAAGAAGGTTTAGCTGTTAGAAACTGCCTGTACATGTCTAACCTACAACGATTATCTCGTTAATAGAATAAATTTTAGGTTGTTTCAAAAGTTCTGTCCGATCATTTTCTGACTTAAAATGTTTAACTCTTTTCAAATCAACATTTCTTAACAAATTAAATTCTAAATGCTAAAAAAATTCTAAGAAAACAACTGCGTTAAAACAAGGCAACTAGAATCGGACAGAAGTTTTGAAACAGCCTAGTAAAGCAATCGGAATTCCTGAAAGATTGGATCTTTATGTGTGTTCTGATAGAATCTATTTCTGACTTCTATTCGTTTCATGATAGCTTCCCTAAATTAAGAGGTAGTTTTATTATTTTCTTCCTTATTTTCATTTCTTTTTTCTGCTGTAGAGAGCTTTCCTCTAAAAGTGTTGCTCGTTTTCTCCCGTAGGTCCTGTTGTCTTTTCATTTTCATACTCTTTTCTTAGGGATCAGGAAGAGAGCTACGCCTATTGGCTAGCTGGCCCTGTGTAAAAGATTTCTTCAGAAAAAAAAACTCTTCAAAATTAACCTACCGTAGATGTACAATTGAGCTCTAGTATTTTTCGCGACAAAACCGTCGCACCGAATTAAGTTGCTTGAACATAAGTTTCATGGAGTAACAAGTAGATTTTTGGACTCCCGTCAGAATTCTGAGACCTTGAAATCGGCAGTTCGCGTCTGCAGGCTAGGTCGTTCTTGAGAGGCCAAATCAGCCTGCATCATAGTTGGTGATCCCCTTATCAATGAAACAACGCAATGCTCATTGCTGTCGATTTCTGATATAAATTTTGCGATTTATTCAAGTTTTTCGTAAATTTGACCAAAATTTGATGAAAATATTTCAAATAATCACTAAATGCTTCGTACAAGAGCCTTTTTAACTTTTGATGCATCTTCTAAGTCAGAATTCTGACAGGAGTCCAAAAATCTACTTGTTACTTCATGAGACTTATGTTCAAGCGACTTAATTCGGTGCGACGGTTTTGTCGCGACAAATACGTCGCGATAGATCAAATAAAAGCATTTTCAAAATCTTAACAGTTATTCTGAATAGCTAGGTTCTCAGCAATCCAATGATGGCCTCAGTTTTGAAAACTAGTTTAAAAAAAGTTATAGCACTGCGACGGTTTTGCGAAGAAAAATATGTCGCGACGGAAAAATTTGTCGCAATACGTTTTTTTCCCATGGGTTAGGAGCTCAATTGTACATCCTACCCACACCAAAATCATTTAGCAGAACCGCAGAAGTAAACCCAACTCTCACAAAAGCTGATGAATTTGTAGTGAGCAGAATAAAACGGCCGTATAAACCAAAACTAGAGCCATACTGCGAAGAACGTGATAATCTGAAGTGTTACTGTGGTCTTTGTATAGAATGTCCTTGGCTGTGAACTTACTACAATTTATCAAGCAGTTTAACGTATAGATACCTTTACGTCTAGTAATTTCCTGCACGGATTGTGTTGTCAGAAGAAGTCATAAAATTGTTCGAACATACGTAACTGTTCCCTGCACTCAAGAGCATGGTCATTTGCTGAGACCGCAGAAATTTCCGCTTTCGGAACAGCAATTCGATAAAAAAATTGTCTCCTTTTCATTGTCAACAGGAACCCAAGTGTCTTAGTGACTCATATGTCAGTTAAACTAAAAGACAAACGAATTCAAGAATAGTTCGTATGTTGATAAGTGCTGGCCCTGCTCAAATTTCATGACATAAAACATGTTGTAAATTTACTACTTGCACTAAGAGAGCTTTTATCCTTATGCCCTCCCCCTCAGAACTTTTTCTTGTAACTACCTTTGAAAAAAATCAGTCCACTTTATCAGTACAAGATTTTCTTCTTACAACACATTTTAAAAAACTTAAACCATAAATCTACTATAAGATGTAGCGGATTCATCATATATTTTTTTAATCTTGTTTATCTCCTTTGACAATCCCTCTCCGTTACAAATTTATCGCTATTTGACGAATCATTCCTTCTACTCACTCGATCAAAGACGTTCTTTCTTCATTTTTTGCATCCTATTGTTGCCTTTGCTTTTTTTCTTAGACTCCCATCTGGCTTTACATTAGTTTCTGCTTACACATTGTGAGAGTCTCATAGCTGTGCTGTGCCGAGGTTAGTTCACTTTTCATCTTTATCCATTCATGTACAGAGACATTGTGAATGAATAATTATAGTGTTCTGTTTTCTACTCTTTCCTCTCTTTCCTTCCCCTTTCACTCATTCTAAAATTGATCAAAATGAATAAAAGCCTCAGATGAAGTCAGAGAGCTAAAAGAGTTTCTTTGAAAAATCTGTTTCTTTTCAATTTTAATACCCATCAACTTGTTACAGGCCTTTTTTTTGGTTTTCATGTCCTTTTGGAAAGATGGTTATAAAAATTTTGAGTAACATCTAAAGTGTAAAAACTTTTAGTAGAGTATAAAGTGCCTCAATCGGGAGCTGGAAATTTTTCGAAGGGCTAATTTATTTGATTTCAATGTATCTAGATTGTTTACCAGCAACAAATCCAACTTGCTTTTCATTTGTACCATGTAGACATTTTCTTAAGAATGTAAACATGTACACTGAAACTTTGTGCTTTTTTCGTTAATTCAAATCTCTAAAACGCAAGCGGATATCTCAATCATTGAACATTTTTATGAAACTGCCCTAAAAGTTCCTTCACTGATATTTACATAGAATTTTTGCGAATTCGGCTCTGGATTTGTCACAGACACAAGAGTGATTGGCTACTAAAGATAGGATTGTTTAGTCATCTTGCATGACCATTCAGCGAAGATAGCCAGAGACATTTTTTTGGACTTTGGCTGAATTCAATTCTTTCTATTTTTTCTGAATAAGGGTGTTAAGATATCCCTGAATGAGCATTTCTCGGCGGTTTTTATCAATTCACGAGATGGAAACTATCTTTTGACAGTTGCTCTATTAATCTGTCGAATATGCAAAAAATTTGAAAATAAATAAAATGGTAAGCGAATCAAATTGAGCGACAACCTTGGAATTTTTATTTTGTCGTCAGCTGGATAAAAATGGCACGATCAAACAGCTGTGCCTGTTACAGTTTTTTTCTTTACCTTTGTCATTTAATTGGGATATCTTTATTAGCAATTAAAAGGACATTGGAGAGTCAGAATAAAAAAGTTATAGCTGGCTGCTTCAGTGATTTTTCGCTTAACTAGTACGCAAAAAATTAGTTGATTTTTCGATCACTGTGCCACACAAGACGATAGTACAATACGCTAATAATTCTAGACTCAATGTAATCAATAGCTGATATAAAAAATCAATTGTACCCTGAATAACAGCTCAATGATCTATTTTTTCACACCTTCACTATTCATTTATCTTCTTCTCGTTAACTTTCTATTGTTCTAGTGCACTTGTATAATTGTCATGACCTAGACAACTGATAGATCCATCGGTTAGCGATTCTTCATTTACTCGCGAAAAAAAAACCCACAACTTTTTGAAACGTCCTAATTTCTGAGGAATTTTCCACACAACTGTTAAGAGGTCATGCACTGCCAGTTGATATCTTTGTAAAGAGTACAGAGCAATTTGTACAGGATCGAATTTCACTAGATTCAGGGACAAGTCAAAGTGAAGATGGGATTTTCCAAAAGCTTTATGAGCAAGGGAACATGGTGAAAAAAATAGATTCATAATATTTTATTCCAAGTATAAATTGGACAAGAGCAATTCATTAAAATGATCACATAGAAGTTGCAAAAGACCTGGAATCAGTAATTATTTCATACCGACAATCAATTGGCAGATCGATAGGTAAATAAAAAAGTAGCAGTTAATAAATATGAACAAAAAATTTTTTTGACGCAGCCTTTCACAACACAGTTTTTTACGTCTGTTAAAAAGTTTTGAAAAATTATCTATCCAGAATCATCTCGCAACGTAGAGGTGCTTGTACTATACAAAGTGTCTAGAATGCACTAATTTATGATTACTGATCTGAAAACTAGTTACTATATGTCTTAAATTCAGATTAACACTTCGATAAAGTACATCACTTTCTCGTCCACGTGTTATTAAATGAAATTGGAGGTGACAAGATCTACTTAAAATTGTTTCATTTCTTTTACTTTGTGTTAAGACACTTGCAATTCTCCAAAAGGACAATATTTTGTGCCATCTCGCAAGTTTTTCATCTTTGATACGGACTTTCATTTTGTATTTTTTTAGGTTGTCTCGAAAGTTCTGTCGTTTCATTTTGGAAAATAATTACTTCCCGCAGTTTGTACGAAACCAATTTCCCGTGAACTTATTGAAGAGAAAGAGTTTGGGGCTCTGTAATCATATTTTGAAGTTCTTACTAAACATTGATTGCTGAGATAAGATCGAAAAAAGATTCCTTTCAAACTTTGATATTTTGAGTTTCTTACCGAAGATTTGAAACTCTGCAGAGTAAACTTAGAATCATCAGCATACAAGCTTTATGGCCCACTCTTTCCACCTAAAAGAAAATTGAGCTTTTTGGATTTTTACTTTGAGATTTTGTCAACCATTTTGGTAATATATTTTCAAGACATTGTTCGATCCAAGACTCTCTCTTCCTTATAGAACTTTGGTGAAGCAAATCCGCCTAGACTCCTAGAAGTTACAATAAATTTTTTTTTCAAAAATGAAACTACAGAACTTGTGGGACGGCCTAATAAAATGGGTTGTAACATAAATCTTACTAACTTTGTTTGTCTTCTCCAGAAAGTGCTAGGAATTACAGCGAATGTAAAAACTCTCAAATGACTCAAGTTGGGAATTTGCCAAATAATTCAGAAAAATTTGAATGATACTGATGCAGAATTTTTCTTGTGTGAATTCATATGTGTATTTATCAAAAACTCCAACATGATCTGAGAATGAGAAAATCTTTGTCTTACTTGCTTTCTTGAAGTTTCTAGCGCTTTCTGGAGAAGTCGAATAAAGGGTAACAAGACTAATGTTACAACCTAAATTTGACCTTCCCACAACCTATTTTTAGATCTTTAATTAATGAAGATTCATTTTCCGGGTGTCAAAACTTGAGTTCAAATCTATTATTTGCCTGATTTAATGTGATGTGGTGCTATGACAAATCGCTTTTCACAGATAATCAAATGCTGGTCCAGAGGCCTCTGAGACTTGACGTCATAATTCAGTTCCGTGCGCCAAGTGCATGGGCTGATCCTCGAAAATTATGAATTACAGAGAGTTTTGGGGGATTCAATTTTGCACTTGACACATGACTTTTTGACAGTTTGTTGTTACTAACTCGTCCGTGCGTACATGTGTGAAACAAGAGCCTTGGTTAAAGTCCTCTCTTGCACTGAATTTCCTGTAGAAAATGGCTGCATAGCCTTGATTTTAGACGGCTTCTAGCTGAATCAGCATCAGCAGCTTGCTTTGCACTTTCAAAGTGTGTTTCTGATTTCGATCGAAATTTTACACCCCCCCCCCCCCTCCCCTCCCCCTACATATGGCCGCGCCTGCTCAAACATTCCGAAAACGACCTTATCAATACAGTCGAAATATGTACTGCTAACATCCATCCCCCTCTGCTTTGGCCTCAAAGCACTTTTCTGCCCTCACTAGGTGCATTTTTCCTTGTTCTCTTTACCCGAATCCAAACAATCAAGTGTGTTAATATGGGCGGAGTTTATAAGTTTTTGACGTAGATTTTATGCCAATGCAAAGCGACATTCATACATTCTTGTGCAATTATTCCTACCAGTTTTACCATTTCTCCTTTTCTTACTATATCTAGCATTTACGAGTATTTTCTAAGATTTTTAATTGTAAAGTTCTTTCACAATCACTCGAAATTTTCAAGGTCTTTCTCGAAGAACTGGGTATGCGCAAACCAGCGGTTGTTGTATGCGAGGTGATCGTTGACAATGAGAAAGCTACGGCAAGTTTTTTATCACTCATAGAATTCTTTAGAAAATCAAAAATATCTGCAAGTAGTGGTGAAGCATTGAGCAAATAGATTCTTGAACAAACAAGGACATCATTGTTTAGCAATGATATCTTTCAGACCCCCTTTGTTGACTTGGCAATGGTATTTGAAGTATTTGCTTTATCACCTTTTTTATGTGTTCTGAAAGTGCAAAACAATAATAAAACGTACTGAGGGGCAATATTCTAGGTTTTCGCCCTAAAGATCAACTCTGCTCGATTTATTCGAAAACGTTTCGAAGACTATCATCAGTTCTACCTCAAGGTAACGAATATATCTCATCCTTTTTTTGTCTTTCACGTGGTTTCTCTTTCAAGTTTTCGAGATTCATTCCATGTCATATCAAATTGTCTACCATACTCATCAAATTAACACTGCAAATTAATTCTCATCGTATTTTGTTCAGAACAAAGTCGAGCTAAATCTCGTAACCAAAGCCGCACCAAAGAAGAGGTTCTTCCAAGCCAAGGCAAAGCTTAACGAAAAGCGAAAAAATTGGATTATTGTATTAGTGCGGGAACTGCTTGCCGATCATCATGAAAGGTTGGTTTTTGCCAAGTATGGAAAATTTATTATCCAAAAATCCAATTTAATTAGTGAAGTAACAAGTTGTTTTTGTATCGAAATAGATAGAAATTGATAAAAGTCTTGCATCAACGAGCAAAATTTGTCCTGAAAAATTGAAATAAATTTCTGATTCTATTTTATAGTATCTATTTTTCATCACAAATAATAAGTATTGTATTCTAAGATAAGCGATTTCCTGAATAGGAACTCAAAAGTTGTGCAAAATCATTGTTTTCGTTGGGAATCTTACTGACACGATTCTTCTGATTATAAAAGAAACTAGAACGAATTTTTATTTCCTTATAAGCTTTAGCAATTTTTTGAATATGGCCCCTAAGCACTTATCAACAAGGATTTTGTAATCAAATATTCCTTAACAGCATGATTTATTTCTTCAGTTTCTGGATCGATAGATTTTGTTGAATAAGACATTTGGATTTCACAGAGATTTTGATGCGGAATCATGCAAGAATTGTTTGGAAATTCCGTTGAAAAGCTCTTGTATCATATTTATAGAATAGAAAAATAAGCCTTAGAAGCGAAACAAATCTAGGACATTTTTTCAACGAAATGATTTTCAAAATACACATCAATAACTTAATAAAGCTTCTATCGATATACTAGATTTCTATTTCTATTGCCATTTATAGTTAATCAAAAAATCGATATTTCTTTTTATGATTCTGCTATATCTGTTTGTCTCATTCACATTTGATCGCGTTTGATTAATTAGTGACATTGTCCGAGAGTTCCTTGCGTTGCGTGATGTTGAAGAATACGACGATGCCCATGTTGACCTTGGAGCCAAAGAACAAGCGATGTATGTTTCCTTTTCAACAATAAATTTCAAATAAACATGCTTTGTTTAGGGCTAATGCATCCGATTTCGATTTCATGAGTATAATTGGTAAAGGGAACTTCGGTAGAGTATTTCAAGTTCGCCACATAGCTACAGGAAAAATCTATGCTATGAAAGTTTTGTCAAAAGAGCATGTAAGAAAGAAAAACGAGGTGAGACTAAGATTTTTACTAAATACCATTTTCTGGACTTCTATAAGCAAAAGTAAACCTTGTAAAGTTCATATTAAGGTGAAGCATGTGATGGCTGAACTAAAAGTTCTCAAATCCAATATTCATCATCCATTTCTTGTCTCACTTCACTTCTCTTTCCAAAGCAAGGACAAGTTATATTTCGTTCTCGACTATCTCAACGGTGGAGAGGTTAGCGGTTATTTGGATTTTTATATAGAACTTGCTCCATAATTCGACTAAGCACATAATTACTTTCAGCTGTTCTCACATCTTCAACGAGAAAAGCGATTTAGCGAGTCAAGAACTCGTTTCTATGCTGCTGAAATTGCATCAGCACTCGGGTATCTTCACGATAATGATATAATTTATAGGTGGGCCAGTTATTATACTACTTTCTAAGTAATTCACTTGATAGATCTAGTTTAAAGTCGACGATAAAAGCCTCCAAGTTGAAATTATCTCCTATTGAAGGCAATTTTTGTCAGAACTGCCACTTGAAGTTTTCATAATATGTGATTGCGTTGAATAATGCTATTTCGAGTGTTTACTGGAATCTTGTTTTACTGGAAGCGGAATATCTGAAGGGGAGTTTTTGGCAGAGCAATCAACCAATCGCAAAATGGGTGGAGACGCCGCGCCAATGAGCCAATCATGCTTGTATATCAAGCTCCGCCTCCTAAGCCCCAACAAATCTTCTACGCTTTGAGATCCTTTGACTTCATGAGTGTCTGATAGCTGTTGAGCATGTTTATTTATATCTAATCGTAAAGAAAAAGGGAGAACGTCTTCACAGCTGCTTTAGCTTCGAATTGGACGTCTATTTCCATGAAAAAATTTTTTACACAATTTAGAGACTTGAAGCCTGAGAATTTGCTACTGGACAGGAATGGCTACGTAGTTTTGACCGATTTCGGTCTTTGCAAGGAAAACATGACGGCAACATCAACTACGAGCACATTTTGCGGAACACCAGAGTAAGTTGATTCGGATGAAATAAACAAAGAAAAGAAACGTTTTGTCGTATGATGGGATTAGCAGATAGGATGTCTAGGTGTTGTGACTTCTACACCTTTTGATCTATTGCTTACCTCTAATGAGTAATTAGTCAATTTTGAGTCCACAACTGCCGACTTCAGCCTTTCCCAAGAGACTCAAATTTTTTTTGTTGAAGTATAACATATGAGGCTCAATGTGTGTGTCATGTGTATCATACGTAGAACACTCCAATTTAACGTAGACACATCTGTAAAAACGGCTGCCAATGTTCTTTAAATCACTTGTTCATCTTTACATATATTCAGGTACCTTGCTCCGGAAATCGTGCTAAGGCAAGCCTACGGTATTTCCGTTGATTGGTGGTGCCTAGGCTGTGTCCTGTATGAAATGCTATTTGGCTTAGTGAGTATATCTTTGATTTCGTGAAGTTCACTGCTGAAATGCTCCACATTTTTCTTTAATACACCTGAGGAAATTCAGCACTTTGTCAGTAGAATTTTACCTGCGTTGAACACCCTGAAATGCGAACTCCACTTTAAAGCATCGAGTTTTTGCAGTCGCATCCTTTGCTATCTCAACAACCACATTTCAATATTTTTGACTGTGAAAAGTTTTTTTTTGACGGATACTGCATCTTTCTTTGCACTGTATAGACAGCGGAATCGTTTGTACTGACTGTGTGCATTGCACGCCAAGCGCGATCTTCCTCGAAATGTGTGCGTGCACTTTGATTCCTAGAGATTTACTTCTTTTCTCTTCTTTTTTTTCTGAGTATATACGAGTAAAGTATAGCAATATTTTTGATTTTTTTTGCATCAAATTAATTTACTAAACTTCCATCATCATAAACCTCGTGGAATATGGCAAAGTCCATACTGAATTATTGATTTGAAAATGTACATTGACTTGAAACTCAAGCAATTTCTTAACATCTATGTATGTCTTATAGCAGAAAGTACAGAGTGAGATCAAACGAAAAATGAAGACTTTTTCGAGTAAAAGTGTAAAATTTTCTTTGTTGGAAACTAGAACTGAACTTCCGCAATGTTTTGCAACATAACGTTGGCTGAGAGAATAACATTGTCATAAATCATCAATCAAAAATTTGTATCCGTGAATTTTAGCACTTGAATTACAGGAAGTTGCTTCCACCCTTCTATGGACATAGTTTGCTTTGATTTTCGTGCTTTCAGCCCCCATTCTATGCTCGGGATCATAAAGAAATGTACAAAAGAATTGTGAGCGATCCTGTAAAGATACGACGTAATGTATCCCCAGCATGCAAAGATCTCCTAGACTCGGTGGGTAGCATGAAAATTTATTTTCCACTAAATGACATTTTCTTTATTCGTAAGCTTTTAGCTACTGAAAAAAGAAGCTTCGAAAAGACTCGGTACCAAAATGGACCTAAAAGAGATCCGTGATCATCCATTCTTTCTGCCCATCGACTGGGACAAACTACTACGACGCGAAGTGAGGGCTCCATTTATTCCGTATGTCGAAAATGATATGGATGTAAGGAATATCTCGAAAGAGTTCGTGAAATTGAAAGTTAATCCAGGTTTGTTGTTTTTATCTCACTTTTCTTCAATAAGTACATCTCGAATAACATTTTCAGCATCTCTGATTCCGCAAAATACTGCCACCACGCATTATGACCACGATTTTGCCGGCTTTACATACGTGCAGAGCATCAATGTAAACTGAATTTGCCGGATTTATATGAAACGAAAACGCTACCGAATTCTCAAGGTTTTCATTGTAGTCAACATATAAATGAAAAAAAATCATGCTTCAAACACTTACCTCATAATCTATTTAGCGAAAAATTTTTATACATAATTAGTGGTACTTATCACTTTTTCCTGCGCACTGCGAGCTAACAAAGTTTGAAAAAAAATTGCCAGTTTTTGTATAATCGATATTCCTAGAAATGTTTATTTTGTCTTCACCTTCAAGTGCTCCCTTTGTTTTTTTTTACTTTCAGTGATCCCTGTGGCTAATTAAAGATGTTGAAGTGTTTCGATCAGATCAGACATATACTATAGCCTGAGGTTTTTGCGTTTCAGTCATTTTTTGAGGTGCTGTGAAAATAACAAAATTATAATCGTAAGTGCATAGTACGGCGAGTCCTGAAAATGTATATTCTGTAGAGTTTGCTTCAGCTCAGCTTTATATTGTGGAACAAACCAGTGATCATTCTTCATTGCTGTAGGATTACGGTAGAAACTTCGAGAAAGACTTTGAGACATTAAGGGCTCATTTTGTAAAATGCAGACCAAACAACCTCAGAACTTTCATATTTGGCTAGTCGAAGTCGCTAGATCTCATCTTGAGGGACTGCACTTTACTACAAGGCTTCTTTTAACTTGTGCCAAGTATCCCATGATGACGAACTCCAGAAATTCGTCGATAAAGAGTGAGATCAGTATGCTTGGAAACCCGTTAAACACAACTACTAGATCCTTGAAGATTTTTCTTTTGGGAAAGGCGGCAATTCACAATCGCTCTATATGCTGGAACGTATCTTACAACAATAAGAGGTTATCGATTAGTCGATTAGCTTTATACTGTAAATCTAGCAAGAATCTAGCCCTACGGAATGGTATCTAGTTGGCAGAGGATTTTGTGGGAAGGATATTAACGTTTAAATAGTGTATAGGACATCCTTTTTATGCCGTCCTCTTCAAAACAGAGAATTTTTGCTGGAAAATTCATATATTTGTGCTGTAACACTCAAGGTTAAATAACTGCTTCACAAATTTCCTTAGCTGTATGAGTAGCAGTTGTCATCGTAGGATATACTGTAGTCTACACGAAAAAGTTAGATTTAAGTCGCCGTTTGCCCTGCAGCGCGTTTTTCGCCGCAACGCAACGCAGTCGCATGCGATTCAAAGTAAGTCGTGGAAGGATAGATTATAGCATTCAAAAGCGACTTTGGATACTATGTTAAATCATTAATCATAAGAATCGAGAATTATATGAAAAGGACACTGTACCATTTGTGCGCCTGGGCATTGCGCTGCCAGCATCAGCACCCTCGTATGACCTGCACGACCGCATCGCAGGGAATGCGCTACATTTGCAAGCGCAGCTATGTAAACCTATCAAAACGCCAGTCACGTTAATTCTTCTTTCCTTCTTCAATTGACAGATTGCCAGAGCTGTTTGCTCGCATATGTGGCGCGCGTCTCCGATGCGATCGTCTTACGTTTTCACGTAACCATGGGCCGTGTCGCGGCTCCGCGATGCGAGCGCTCCTAGAAGTAGGAGAATGGGAGCACTGGTCGCTGCCGCGCTATCCGACGACGATTATGGTACTTTCTCACGCTCTTGCCGCAGTCGCCTCCGGACCTCTCCTTGCCTTGGCGCGTTACCAGCCAAACGGCTATTAGCGGCGGCGCCTCATTTCGGTGTCTATCTGCATCGTTTTCAATCAATAATCTTTTCTCATGTTTAACATTTCTGCTCGTGCCTGGCAGCACGGCTCCTCCTTTTGATGTTACCTTCGCAGTAGCGGTTGATCATACCAGATTTCATAGTGGATTTGAATTTACGTCGGAATCGGTACTGTTTCGGACGAGCCACTTTTGGGACTTTGGGAATGGATATTAAGATCATATGAACATTCAGAGCGGAGAGGCTCTCGCGCCTGTTCTCCGGCAACTCGTGGCGGATCTGTGTAGGTGAAGCCTCGGGAGGACTATTATCATTAAAATTTATATAGACGCGCAGCATCGGTAGTACGGATGGGGCACCCTGTCCCGTGTTGGGGTTTCCCTTTTGACTAATGGCTTAGTATAAGGTCGTTCCATAAGTTCGTAGCGTTTTCATTTTCGTCCTCATGTCTTTGAGGAGCGGTTGGTTTGCGGCAAGATGCATGCATCATATGGAAGGGCTGATTGTGCTCTTCAAAATACTTTGCTGATTTCGATGGAAAGCTGATTAACTCTGATCTCATAGCTTCAAAATATAGAAATCTTGAAAGGCAAAAAGAAGCAATTTCGGCATTTGCGCATTTTAAGCGCTTTTGCATAGATTTTTGTATCGATCATGGAACATGGCGCTCGCACATCAATATGAGACAAAGGATTGGATTGCTACAAAAGATCAAGAGCTGAGCAGGGTGTCCCCGAACAAGATTTTTCGGAGGACGGGCAGGACCTTCTGCACTGAGAATTGCTGTGCAGGTAGGCGATGGTCAGCTATACCGTAAACAATCCAACTGCACCGTCTAAACCAGGTCCTACCGCAGAAAAAGCCTAACAGACAGTTTTAGTGAGCTTTTCTGCGTGACGAAACATGGCGTCATACGGCAAACGTCGTCAAAACTGTCCTGCACAATTTGACTGGAAGGTACTTCAGTATCCGAAGTACTCTCCAAATCTCGCTCTATCAGATTAGTATTTGCTCAGCTCTTTGGCAAACCTCATGAATGGTGTCTATCCCGATTTCAATAAGTAGTTTGAGCACTGGTTAGACGACTTTCTTGGGACCCGACACGCTGCCGTTTGAAAAATTGACTTTGAGAAGCTAACAAAAATGTGCCAAAAGGTCGTGCGATACAACGAGGAAACTGTAAATTGATGATTGTGTTGGTTTATGAAAACGCTACGAACTTATGGAACGACCTAATAGTTATTTTAGTACAATGTTTTTTTCTCTTGAATTATAAGGATAAAGTGTAAATTGTTTACCATCATTTCTTCACGCGCTAGGGCAAGTGGTAGGTAGGTTGTGTCGTATGTAATGAACGGGCGAGCGCATTGGGTCTCGGGTAAAATCTAAATGCCTAGGGCCCACCGAGCCCCATAGGCCGTATCTGCCTGAGCAGACTATATAGATTAGAAATTAAGGTCTTTAGCTGAAGAAAACTAAATGGGAACTTTTTTGCTTAGTTGCTTCACCGGGTTATAATGAGTAATGTGCAAAACTCTATTGCAGACATATTTATAATGTAAGAGTTCAAATGTCCAAATTCTTCTGCACATACGTAAAATCCACGAAGTCATGATCACGTTGGGTTATGGCGACATTCCTCGGATCGAGCGATTCTAAAATGACGTTAGGAGAATTGTGGACATGTTTGATGAAATTGAAGCTCATGTAAAATCAATCCAATCACAAACCTGGATTGATCTTGATTTTAACAAAATCTTCGGCTATGTTGCGTACATCCGTTTCACTCTCAATCCGCGGAATAAATGGAGCTTTAATTTCTCGTCGCATAAGTTTCGCCCAGTCAATAACTTTGAAAAATTCGTGCTCCTTGACCTCAGCGAAGTCACCCCTGTGACCGAGTCGCTTATTCTTGTCTTTTTGCAGGAACTGAAAAAAGTTAATAAATTCATCATCAAGTTTGAAGCTTTGCTCATTCTAAATCCTTACGCCTGTTATTATATCGGTAGAAGTATTAGAGATGCTTCGTTTGATTCTGAGTGGCTCGTTTACTATGCGATTGTACATTTCGTTATGATCTCTTGAGTAAAAAGGTGGCTGAAATTATAGTACATACAATAAGTTGTTATCATTTATGTATCGTTAGTTATATGTACAAGTACTGAAATGTGCCCCTCATATTTTCTTTGTTCTCATTCTGAGTCATAAGCTTTGATCCTAGATTAAAGAGACTAAAAGGACAAGTGTAAAGAAAGAACTTTTAGACTAGATTGTTATCATTTAAAACCTCTCAGATTTTGGCTTTAAGCTTATGTGGGACAAACTATGAGCAGATGGTGCGGTCTTGTAGAGCTTGCTTTACTCTGTCGAATGCTTCCACAAAACAATTTAGAAAGCAAGAAGAATATGAGTCAGTGCGGGAAATAAAAATAATAAATAATTATGAAACACTAATATTTTCTCATCATTTTGCATTTGCAATCCTTTCACTCCCGTGAAGTTTTGCATATAACTTATTTTTTTAGCTTCAGTCAATGAATTGTGTAACTCACCAAACCATAAAGCATTTCGTAAAGGACTGAGCCAAGGCACCACCAATCGACGGAGACATTATATGGCTTCTTTAGAATGATCTCTGGAGCAAGATACCTAGAAAAGTTATACTAGGTTAGGCTAAGGTGGGAATAAAGAAAAGCGTGATGGGACCAGCTTACTCTGGTGTTCCGCAGAATGTCGATGTGGTACTTGTAGGAGTCATATTTTCCTTGCACAAACCAAAATCTGTCAGAACTACATATCCATACTTGTCCAAAAGCAAATTTTCTGGTTTTAGATCTCTATAATGGAAAGATAAAATAAGGCAAAAAAAAGGATGGAAAATTTACCTATAGATAATATTATTATCGTGGAGATAGCCTAATGCTGATGCAATTTGTGCAGCATAGAATCGGCTCCTAGATTCGGAGAAGTGTTTCTCCTTTTGCAAATGAGAAAATAGCTGAAAATTATCAAACAATAAACATATTTTCCTGATTTGAGGTCCCGTATACAAACCTCACCACCATTTAGATGGTCCAGTACAAAATATAATTTGTCTTTGTTTTGGAAGGAGAAATGTAGCGACACCAGGAATGGATGATGGAAATTTGCCTTCAGTACGCTCAGCTCTGCCATCACATGTTTGACCTACAAGATGAAAATTTGTGAAAATAGTTGCATTTCATTCGTAAAGATAAAAAAAAACCTGAGAAAAGCAGTTGGGAAAACTGAAGAAATATGTAAAACTCGGAAACTGCACAAAGGATGAGATATTAAGATTGTTATACAAATACATATAATCTGACAAGCAATCTGCCGTCTTTGCGCTAGAAACTACAATATAACATTTGCTTGTCAACATAGTGCTACTGCGGTACCGATATCATCTATACGAATTTGAGCGCCAAACCTAGAAAACTGCGCGCTCTGTGCCCATTTTTTGCGCGCAAGTGTTGTGAGCACCGCAGAAAGCACTACACGAAGGCACTACACCGATAGGTTCTACTGTATGACAAAACTCGGTTATCTTGAAAACACACTGGTATATTCAAATATGCGAGATCAAAAGTCTCTATTGAGAGCCAAAACTTACCTCGTTCTTCTTTCTTATATGCTCTTTGGAAAGAACCTTCATTGCATAGATCTTCCCAGTTTCTTTGTGCATCACTTGGAAAACGCGACCAAAGCTGCCTTTTCCGATGGTTGTCAGGAAATCAAAATCGCTGGCTTTTGCCCTAGAAAATTCTCTTCAGTAACAGCCTGATATGGATTTATTTGATGAAGTACGTTGTTCTTTCTTTGGGCCCAAGGTCGACGTGGGAGTCACTGGAATCATCGAGATTCCCAATTGCAAAGAAGTCGCGAACCTCTTCACTAAAATAATAGAAGAACTTCAACATGAATGCGTCGGATCTAATAATCTAATCTTTTCAAATTAGTCTAGAGCTACATCATTCCCTTTTCTGAATAGTCTTAGAACTTGATCTTCGTAGGACTTAGGACCAGTCAATGGCTACGAAGTAGCGTGCAACTTCCTGCTTTATTCTATGAATGCAATGGCACATTGTTCTTCAGAAAGCAGAGAGTAATTCAAGCTCATTCATGTTACGGAATTTCAACGTTCATTCCCGTGTTACTACGTAGCAAAGCACTTAATTCACGTTACTTTCAGCCTTACTAAATCTCGAAAAAATTGAACTTTTTAATCTTCCACCATCTAAAAAATATATTAGAGAAATCAAAATCCTTGGACAACATTTAAAATCAAGTAAAATACTGTGAGATAGTCCAAAAGAAGTCTCTCAGTATATCAAACCAGTATATGGAGTCATTTTTGATTCGATGCGTGCACTGCACACCATGCGCGGCATCACACGACTTGTGTGGTTACAACTTACTCGTCTTTAGGGATTTCCTTTCGTTTCTTCCTTCCTTTCGGCGTACGCAGAGAATGGTTCCAGATATTGTTTCATTCAAGCTGTTCCACCGACTGCAAGGAGTCGTAAAGTACTGTGCGCTTTGTGTGGACACACATTTTAACAAATAATTCGACTGCGTTTCGTGAAACAGGAGCAATGTGCTAGTGAAGCATAATATGCGTACATGGTCGGCTACGCGTGATTATGGTTCTTAAGAAAGAAGCGAGGGAAAACATAGATGAAGGTAGCAACCATTCAAGTCGTGGGTTGCCACGCATTGTGTGCAGTGCACACATCAAATCAAGAACTACTCTACTACGCAGGTTTAGTGTACCATCACCTTCTTTCTATCTAATAGCTTCACTCGTTACCAAATGTCAACCAATGATTTGAGAATACAATTATTTTTTTTTTATCACGAGAGACCAAAGAATCCAATTTCTTTCGAAAATTGCAGTATGCCAATTCATATCAATTAGTATAGCACCACCTTGCACTTTGTACCTATTCGTTTAACAAAATTTCCACATACTTATCATATTGAGTTGAAAGCACTGTTTGCGCAAATGCAATAATCCAATGCCGTCGTTTTTCCTGTAATTTTGCCTCCGCTTGTAGAAGTTTCTTCCTTGGCGGTGATGAAATCGAAGCAGGAAGATGGTCTTTCAACTAAATTACGATGAACTTTTTCTCCTTTATGTATAGTCGCCATACCTTACTGTACAATTTCTCATAATCGTCGAATTTTTTCCTCGATATAGGCCCGGAATCGACTCGAGTGGCGAACAGCTGAAATTTTTTTATTGATAAGGTTCGCGATCAGACGATTACGTACTGTGTATCAATTCAAAATGACTCATTGTCTGAACATAAAAGCGATAGCAGATGAGCAACACGTGATCGCTGAGGTGGGCAAATTTTTCGTAAGGAATTGATTTAAACCCTGGCAAGCCTGGATCGATTTTTTCCAAAAAAAGTTTGATGACAATTTATGCTTACAACAGAGCACTGAAGGGGGGGGGGGTATAGTTAGTTTCTCATAGAAAAGGAAAGGGTTATTATCTGAACTTCTATAGATCACAGATTATTTTTCAAAAACTTGTTTTGGAGCATATTATTTATTAAAAATATCTAATAGTCATTTTTTGAATAAGCAGATTTTCTCACAAATTTCCTGAAACTTTTTCGTGCTTGGGTAAATTATTTGATGATACAGATTGTTTTTTCCGCCACATTAGACTTTCTTGAGATTAGAAGATTATTTGAAAATATATTGATTCGATCTTAACACTCTTTCTTTCTTTCCTGATGTGGCATGTAAGAAAGATACTCTTTTATAAAATGAAACAAACGAGAAGTTAGAATATAGTTTGCCAAATACAAAATTTTTACGAAAATTTCTATCTGTTTTTACATTACCCGGTTTCGGGGCTAAAAACTATACCAGTAGTGCAGCTTCCTTGGTGCCCCTCATCAATAGTTCCCAGAAAAACTTCAAAAATTCTATAAATTTCGGAATAGATGTGAAAAAAAATTTACAAACCGTCTTTCTATCTGGCGAAGAGACCAATTCGCACGTGACCATAGGAGGTTTCCGCATTTTCAGCAGAATTCCGAAAAAGAATATTGTAGTAGAAGCTAGCACATCAATAAATCAATATCCAAGAAATTGTTTAAGGAAGTAATAATCGTTTGGAAAATCATTGGCCAAAAGACCGATGAGCACATCCAAAACAAACAAAAATGTTTGGTGATTGGTAGGCGAGAAATCAAGCGAGAGAAGACTTGATATCCTGAGAGAAGACAAAAACACGGATAATGAACAGCACGAAGAATTTACAGATGAAGAAATGAAAGACTAAGCAAAAGATTTTGTTGTTGAAATGAAGCATTCGCAAAGACAATGAAGAACTCTCACAACGATGTCTTATCACCGTTATCTTGTAAGCGAAAATCGCAACGCACTCGCTCTCGTGTGCTTGGCTGACAGTTGGCAAAAATTACATCCTTGATTAGAAAAAAATGAATGAACTGCTTGGAATCCATCAATTCGTCACTGATTTACTGTAGTCAAGACAGGGAGTGCATTATGGAAAAAACTGGTCGTCATAAAAAAATGCTAGCGAGCCAGATTCCTTCGTGCCTGCCCATTTCAGAATAAAGTTATAAGCTATGCTATTAGAGTGCGATGTCAGATAATTTGGTTTTCTTTTGTTTTCAGAAATCATAAGTAAGCGTGGGAGTCTGTCTATGAAAGCACTATTCGAAAATAACATTCTATGTCATCAGAAAAAGTTCAGGTTGTTAGTACTAAGTATGACTTCAATTCGGTTCCAAATGATCATCCTTTTCACTAGTACAATGCTTCAAACTGTAGCAAATCAGTATAGTAGCATTGTTTGCGAATTTAGTCATCAGGCACGACTACTTCCAGCAAAAAAAGTTCAAATTGAAAGTTCAAATGTTATTGATGGGGTGAAGAACTAAACAATTCATTCTGCAGCAAAACAGATGATATGGAAGTCGAAAGAAATCTTGCGATGGCGCATCAGAGACTGTTGATCAGTACAAAGTTGTCTAGATTCTATATTCTAATCATCTTATTTCTCTAAGAATATCGGTAGTTCTTTATGATTAAGCTCATTACGTTCAAGTAGCATGACTCAAGTGTAGATAAAGAGAGCTTGTATGGAATCGCCTTTTTGATTCGTGGTCTCTTCCCTATACGGCTTCTCTTTCCTGAATAGCATAAATGACGTTGAAGGGTATTGCACTGTTAAAATCCCAATAAAAACGCCTTAGATGATAAACAGCAAATCACACAGTTTTACAACAAATCAACCTGCAAATTTGATATTTCACCTGAAATTCAAGGTTTGAAGTTTCTTGTAAGTGGCCATCAAACCTCCAATCAATTAGATCCTCGAAAAAGCTAAACTCTGATACTGTTTGTATAGAACCTTACATTGAAGGGCTCCATCTTCCTTTTTTATCAAGCATATTTCTTTACAAAAATGTTACTTCTTCAACCCCAAAACCTATAGTATTTAGTGTATCCTCATCAAATATTTGAAATCGGCACTTTTTCAGTATTGACTGATCTTGACCTACACCTACAAGTAATGTAAGAAGGTCTTACTGTAAGTTGACCCGTTTAGCTAATCGTGATTGGTCCATTGCTTCAACCTCTCCGCCCTCTATTATGCATTTGGCAGACTGCTCTAAAGACTAAAAACAACCAGAATATTAAGAGTTTCTCGCAATTTGAAATACATAATTTTACACAGTCCATTTTTTTTGTGAAACTTTGGTGTTTAAGGCCAATACAATGCCTTGGATCAATCTAGGATGATTTTGTCGTCCAATTTAAAGCTTGGTTTTGTTTCCAGGTTTGAGCTCGTTTTCTATAATTGTATCATTTATTTGTATGTGCACTATCACTGAACATATTTCGACATAATACAAGAGACAATATAATCCGTCAGTGACCGTGTCACTGATGAGCATGGGATTAGACCAGTTTGTAAACTGCTAGACGCAGAGATCTTCTAGACAAAAAAGAGTGATGACTAAACCATAAAGAATAAATCACAAAAGTACAATCACATCAAAAAGACTTTGTGAGATGTAGCGAATCACTTGAAGACGATAAAAAGAAATAACGGAGAGTAGTGCCACTACTGAGCTTTTTCCTGAATGGAATAAGAATGTAGATGGATCACATCGACACTTGAACCATATTTCGTGAAGTGGGCGAACTCTGTTCCGTACATTCTTCTTCGAGATCAGAGAGGACAGTGCTAGGCCTTGTTGATAGACTGCTTCTAAAACAGACTATCTTTTGAAAATTAGTCGCCTGTGCTTCACCTTTATTTTATAATAATCAATATCTTTTTCTCAAGATTATAAAGATGCTTTTGTTCGCTCTATCGTGAGCAGTGCAACAAAGCAAATCTTTCTTAAAACTGTGAATAAATCCTATTTCTGGTGATCATTGTCTTTGATGATTCACGTCAAAAGAACTTCTGCAGAAAGCATAAAGTGACTTTTAAAAACTCATTAAATTGAAGTTTTTCACCGAAATTTACATAATTCACAGTATACTCATAACATCGAGATGGTTTTGCACGATAACCACGTCGCGTGAAATATGCGTCATAGTTCCATTTTTTGATCTTTGACAAAGTCAACTTCTTTGCAACTTCATCGTTTTAGAACTAGTTCTACCCATTGATATGATTTTGAGTAGAATAAATCCTAATATTGGTTTTTGAACCTATTTGAACCTGTCCAAGTTCAACAAAAATAATCTTACCCAGATCGACAGCTATCTGACAAGGTAGAGATGAGAGGGCGAACATCAAACGATCGTTGAGTCGAATGATTCGGTGACGAACACGATGAAGGACATTGAACAACAATTGTTGGTGGAGACACCAACAGAGATTCCGACTGAAACTGAGACTTTAATGTTGGAAATGCTCCAAGGATTATTTTATATACAACTCTATCAATAGCATCACACGTGTTTGCAAAATATGACTGCCGTGAGATATCCCTCTTTGTCGTGGCAAAGCTAGATTTACAGAACTAAAAAAGAACTTATTCACATATTTTCCCCCCTTTTTTTCCGCAATTTGAGCGAGCTTTATTTTAAAGCAAAAGTCCGAAAAATTGTTTTCCAACCTAGTCTAAGCTTTCCTAAATCAAAAAATGAGAAAATTTTGATGATATATTCAAAATTATTTCTTCTATTTGACAAGGTCGCCAGAAAAGTACTTGCTTAGTATGTCTAGCCAGCTACATATTTTTTTATCCAACATTCTAACTCTGGAGATATTTTAATAATTTTTCGAATTTTGGCTGTAACTCACCTCGCTACTACTTTTATTATTATCACTATTATTGTTGCAAGTGTTAGGGTAAAGATGGTGGACAGAGTGATTGAACGGCGAAGGCGATGGAGCTGGGCTCGACTCCCAGGATCGCGTATCTTCCAGTTTATGCTCATTGCTATAGTGACAGAAGTAATCCTTTGGCTGAAATTAGCACACTGATTAACGTTATAAAGATTATACTAAAGAAAATCACAGCATAATCTTGAGCGGTTCTTTATTTCTATGTTGTAAATCTAATAAATGTGCAAAGTATGAACGCCTAAAAGTTTGTGTCACAGTAGTCGTCTACAATCAGACGCTGCAAAACGCTCACTAAGGATATTTTCTGAGTTTAGGGGTTACCAAATTTCTAGAAATATGCGTTAACGACGAGAAATTCCAGGATTTCAATGGCATGGAGGGGGGGGGGGGAGGGAATTACAGAATTTGGTCAAATAAAGGTATGAATGGCCCCAATCTACGCCCTTCAAAAATAGTTTTGATACGCCTATCAACTTTTAGGGACTCAGGCCTTCGGAAAAAAATTCTACAAGCTTAATGAATTGGAATGACTCCAAGTAAGATAGATACAGTAAATTTCCCATGCCTACATACGGGTCGTTATGATAAGACACTTTATTTTCTTGAAAAAATTTTAGAATTCAAATGGTTCGCAATCAAAAACAAGTTATTGCCGGAGTTTTATGACTCACAAGAAAGCGATAAGCTCACTGAAGATTTGAAAGTTTTTCCCATTCATATGTAAAATATTTCGCTTGCACATCTACATATATAAGTCATAAAATTCACTATAAAACTTTCCTAAAGAATATGTTTGATGACCAAGAGGTTTCTATACCATGAAAGTGACTTGTAACATTTTGTGAAATAGGTGGCAGGCAGACTCACTGGATAGATCTATGCAATTGGTAACGAAATTTCTATTTTGCAAATAAAACATGGTTTTGAAGCTATTTAACCAAATTTGACTTACATTATAGTCTTGAGCATAATGTTCCATAGCGCTGCAGTGTGGTGTCTTCACTGCATAAGTGCTATTGAAAAGATTATAGTCAATTTGGTAGGAACCATTGCTCCTCTGATATGTTACCAACTTGCGAAAACTGGAACGACCTTACATCTCCGAAATTCTGGTCCCAAAACGAGAACCTGAAACTTACCGATGGCCCCACAAAATCTCACATGGTAAATAGCTCGTTTTCGCTTGTGCTGTCATGCCCGTCGATTCTACAATTCCCTCCAGGAGACAAATGATCTCGAATTGTGCCGATAGCAAAGAATTGGCTGTGTACTCATAAAGAGGTGAATCCTTGTTGATTACGTGGCAAAGCGTTGTGGGCCAAACCTGCAAAGAATTGCAATTTTTTCTCGAATTCGCTAATTTTCTCAGTAATCGCAATTACTGAAGCTCAATTACTGAAGTTGGTAAATAATTTGTTCTACGTGGGTGGTCTTTCTAAAGTACGATCATAGGCGTGGGAGGAGCTCGCCCTCGAACTGTACTAATAACACTTGGCATGACTCTGGCGTGGTCGGCATAAATTCGTTCTTCGAAGAAAAAGTCAGGAGAAAATTTCATATGCACGTATTTACATGTACATCTACTACCCATGCATACATCTTTAATCATTTACTGCAACGAAGAAGTAACGACATGAAAAGTTTCATATTCAGCGTGACTTACAGGCATGAAATTCAATAAGCAATTCAAGAAAAATTTTTGCCAAAGTAAGTAAGTCATATTTTTGCGAGCCACCATATGCATAGAGAGAAAACAGCAAAAACTTGAGTCAAATCCTCGAAACTTTCGAGCTGAAATAACTAAAGAAAAATTTGGCTACCCCCTATCGCTAAGATTCAACAAGTGCAAACAATTCGGTCCTTGTTGTTACTTTTCCAATAAGTTCTTTTTACTCTGACTGATATCTATCTACATATTTCCACCTGTTATTGACGAAGCGGGATCAAAGACCTAGTCTTTTCCTTGTTAGACCACCGTATAGCTGTGCCATTAGAAGAAAAAACGCGCTCTAGTCAAACAGCAGTGCCGCCAATTGTAACTCAAAACTTTTTAAGTTCCTGTTGTTGAAAGTCTAGCCTGACTAAGTCAATGAAAGCAACCATAACTTGAGGCATGGAATAAGCGCTGCTTACTGAGTAAATTGCCGTTATTTATTATTCTCATAATTCTTTTTTCGAACTCTGGTCTTTGAAACATCCAATAAAATTTCGAATGCTGTTGAATGTTGAATAGAAAAGGCCATGGCAAAGGAAATTTGTCAAAAGCATGGTATACGCTCCACTCTTGCATTTTAAGAATAAGAAAATCATATGCGACTGTGGTGGCGACATAAAGTAAATTCTAATATTTTTTTGGGATTGACTAAATATCGAGAAAAAATCAAGCCTCGATTGAGCAGTTTGTTCACAGAAATTTAAGAATTAAGACATTTTGTCTTTTCCCCCCTTTATTTTTTAGCTTGTGGATTTCTAATGGAGCAGAATGGAAGGATCTCTCAAAGCTAACCAAAAAAAGTCGATCGTCGTCCGCAATTGTGGGGCCCACTTTCATTTCAAATTGATGGAGAGGCTCAATCTGAAAACGACGTTGTAAAAAAAGCTGTAGAAACACATCAATTCAAAGGAAGAGAAAGAGAGATTGATAAGCACGAAGAGTTGTTTGACTCCTTTCACTCACCTCTCCCTCAGCAGTTTCTCGGTCAGAAATGAATTGTAACCTGACATGAGCTTCGACTAGATGTGTATTCCTCATATCACCTACTCGACACAGGAAACACAGTTGGCCATCTCGGAGGCAGATGACGGCTTTCTCACTAAAAAATAAAATCACAGGTTGGTCAAAATAAGAGCAAATAGGAAGGCAAGGTGCATTTTTGTATCACCACATTCGTGCATATTAAAGTTTCAATTCAAAATATAGTAGAAGTACTCTAGATTCTGGGTAAATATTAGATGATAATTTCTATCAGATTTTTCTATCGATTTGCAAATTTTCAAAATTTCCGAAGATGTTCAATTTGCTCCATACTTAGTGTATGATAGGCTAACTATCAGCATGATCACTGCCGCAAATGCGCACATAACCTACAAATTTACGACATTCAGAAAATTCCAGAACTTATTTGAAAATCTCAAACTGACTTTATACTTAACTGACAAGAAGGTAATACTTGGTGATAGATGCCGTAAACGCACACACAACCAACAAGTTTACGACAATTCAGTCACAGTCAGTCTCGCCTTCTTTGTTCTTTTCTCATTCTTTCCCTAAGCTTTTTCTTTCTCGTAATTTTTTCAGAAATATATTTTGCCACTGTATGTCTCATGGTGGCAGTCTGCTACCTCCAGTTTCTAAAAAACTAGAGGTGAAAGAAAGTTAGAGATCACAAACTTCCAAGAATTCTTCATTTTAGGTGCATCATTGTAAATTCATACGTAAACTTAGGATACTTGTGAAAAGAAGCCTTTGTGGTTGAAATGTCAGTGAAATGTGGAGGCTAACGTAACTGCAAGCCACTGTTTAGAAGTACAATATCAACTCTACACCCCCCCCCCTCCTCCTTCACTGGTCGAGATACAACCTTCTGCAACATTAACTTAGATAGATAAAATAAGCCTAAGGCTTCTCTAGTAAAAGGAAGTGCAAATCCGACTGCTATTATTGGTTAGCCACAAGCTTATTTTATCTATCGTTATTTGCACGGAAATCCGCGAAACTCAAGAAGCCTGTTATGCTCATATTTCACGTAACAATGTTAATAGTGGGTACTAGCAGAAGCCGTACAAACTCATTATAAAGTATTCTAATCCTTTAGCAAGCACAAACTACAACTTATCTCTGACGCACTTTCACAGCCCACCTAATTATACAAGTTATTACTGCTGTTATATTATTCAACGAAGGACTACGAGGCTTATATATCAAAACATAAACATCACTTAGATAAAACATTCACTTTTGCACTTGGGACTTCCTAATATTCCTTTTATGGCACAAATTTGATTTTGGGCAAATTATAGGGGATGTGGATAGAAGACCAATTAAGGAAAGAATAAAGGTGAATCGTAACACATATTTACCTAAAAATTATTGTTTCGGCTCTCTTCTTTGGTCTTGCCATTTTTGCAAAAACTAATCCAACCATGAAACTTTGTATTAATAGGCCACAGACGGCCTGTAGACATACAGTGAAACCAGCAAGAGGACATTCTGTTGTAATGTACCTAAAATTCACAATTAGAGATTGCTGAACATCTACAAAATCTTCATAGTTTGTTTGATTTTTTTTCGAAATTTATCCTCCTTTTTTGATGAAAAAATGACATAATTACTGCTACACATCATATCTTGCGAATGCGGAAGTCTCATTTGTGCAAATTTGTTGAAACTTTGTGACGACCTTTTCAAAATTAAATTCGTAGAAATGTGGGCTGAATATTAATTAGTAGCACATTACTCCTTTTCTAGATGCACAAACTTTTCAAAATATTCACAGCAATTAATGAAGACTTAAAAATGCTTTCGTCAATTCACAAGAAAAACTTAGATTGCATTCGTCAATTTACGAAAAAACGCTGCAAAATGCTGAGAGTACACTTTTTTCACAAAATGTAATACTAGACAACGAAATCAGACAAATTGCCCACAAAAAAGTTGATAAATTATTCAGGAAGCAGATTTTCTGAGTGCAATACCGTAAACTCACTGCAGATATCTAGCAATTGAGGAAATTCTCTCAAATGATCATGTTAAATTTACCTGTGTCCATAACCTATGGTATGGTGAGTTTCAACAGCGAATAGGAATGATGAATAAATAGAATCGAGGTTCACGACACACTGAGTTCGATTGAGGTACCGAAATTCTGGAGATAAATCGCCATGGAAGAATGCGATTGTGTAGTAAATGCTAGCAAATGTCGTCCAACTGAAATGAAGAAGCATAAGTTTAGAATTTCGCCTTTGAAATGGAATTAGGGATAATGTTCCAGTCATAATTTTATTCAACAACACTCGTCTGCTTTCATCGTTGTTTAATTTTCCAATTTTTTGAAATTATCTAACTCAAAAATTATATATTTTATGGAAATTGAGTGTTTGAAATTTAAATTGAATGTTAAATTGCGAGACTTGAGTTTTGAATTTCTAGACTTTCATCATTTTAGTGGTGCTTGTTATTTTCCAGAAATTACTCTAATATTAAAAACAATTGAATAAATTTCTAACTTCCGTTTTCCCACCACTAGACGGAATGACAAAGAATACGACCTTCTTCGGTTTAGTGATGTACTTCTTATTTACCAGAATTTACTCCAAGAAAAGTTATGACATTTCGACGATTTGCCACGATAAATACGTCGCGGCGCAAAAATCTATAGCTGTTCGTTTTTCCCAAAACTTGATGGCTCAACTGTGGAAACAAATATTTAGTTCAACTCAGACGATTCTTTTTCACCCCCTCTGCTGGTGAAGCCTTGTCTAGCCATATGCAAGAAACTCACAGAATAAAAAAGAGCCCGAGAGATCCTAGTTGTAATTGATTTAACGATGCATAATCCTGTCACATAGTGCTTCTGCTATTAGCCAAGCAAATTTGTGATGAGAAAAAAAATACAGCATCTGCTTGCAAAGTATGTCTCGTTCTACCTATTCGCATTGGAATTCCATTCATCTTCTGTCACATCACTTAGAATTCCAATCTGATACCGGCATAACAAGAAAAAAAACTTCGATATTGGAAAGCGCATAGATCAAAGCTCAATTTCTAGCTAAAATAGCAAGCATTTATCACCTTAAAGAGTGAGAAGAGGCAAAAGATAAGAAGGAGTGAGTCTGGAATTGTTAGGCTGGCCAAAAAAATAATTTGTTCTATCGTTAGAAGAAGAATGCTTATAGCACAGAAAGTTGTTATTTAGACACATATGAATCATCAATACCTGTCAAAAATATTTCTGCGTTCCATCCATATATCTTATATCCAATTCATTTGGTTTTTAACACAATCAAAAAATATTATTTTGCATTCAAAGTTCACGTTTTTTAGGCGACAACTAGCAAAAATAAATTGTTTCAACTTCTATTCGTTTCTTGGCATAATTTCGCAAAAAAAGTGATAAGAAATATGGGTATTCCAGCTTCCTGCACCATTTTTTGAACAAAAAATTTTCTATCCAAGCATATTGACCCACTGATCCTCATTGTTACCCATTTCACTGATCTCTTTATACTGTCTAAGATATTGGCTGACATTTTCCAAAAAAATGACCGAAATCGTTTTTCAACCAATGACTGATATTGCGCAATAAAGGTCAAGCACTTTCTTGCTAATTGTTCAATAATTTGGCAAATTAGCTTTTTCGATTTGTGTCGAAGCCTACCTCAGCACGAAGACAAGAGCGAATATAAACAACATGTATCTCCATTTCACATCAATCATAGTCGTAAAAATATCCCTAAAATACAGTAACATAAATTTTTACGAATAATAAAGATTCAAAGCAATATACCTGAGGTATTGCCTATCCTTTTTGGGCACATTCGTATTAAATACATTGCATAAGCCATTTTTCGCGACTAGCCGACTTTTCTTCATCTTTTTGGTAGATTTTCGCGATAGGGGGCTCGAATTTCGTCTTGCTGTGATGGCCAGGGTTCGAATGCTATCCGAAAAAGCATCTGAAACCCGTAGATTTCGTCCGCTATAGGTGGACGAAGGAATTCGAGCCGAATTTGCTCGGCGTACTTTAGTGCTTGACATTGTCAGGATTTCGAGATTAATCTCGAAATTCTGGATTTTGCTCTCAGGAAGGGCAGAATATGTAGAATAGCGAGATTATTAAAGCAGAATGACAGACGAAGGGGAAGGGTCTAAAATGGAGAGCGCTCAGTTTTCTGAATCGCAGATACTCTTCGTTAAGCGTTAATGCCTGCGGCTGAGGGAGAGAGATCCCGGCCCCGCCCTCTCCCCCCAAAAATAATGATCGGCTCCAAGGTCTTCGCGCCACGATTTTACGTAATGATGGTAATGGCCATTCGAGCTATAATTCGATCATACCCCATGCCCAGAGTAAATTTCTGTCAAATTTCCTTGATTAGCTGTAGGACTAAAACGCTTGACTAAATAAGCTCAGGAGACGGTGAAAATAACACCAAATCTTTCAAGTTTCTACCATAACAAATACTAATAGGTTTGATACATAAGAATTGCACAACCTTTTCGAAATTTGCTGATTTTTCGAATATTGAAAGAAAAGGGCTGCTCGCTCCAAAGTTTAGGCAAACAGCAACGATATAACTGATTACTGGATACATTTGATATAGAACCTCTACTGTAATTTGATTATTTTTTTGTCTCTGAAAACCTGCTCTTTCCATCTAGAAAAGTTTATACAGATTGAATGTCTTTCTTTCTAGAATTATTTTATTCAGCTTTTTGTTTTTGATTAGAATTTCTCTGATTTACTATGAATAGTATGTTCTAAATCGCCTTCTCAGCAGTTGGTGTTTTCAGTTCCTTTTATAAGCTACTCCGAAACTCACATTCTGGCGTTTTTTTAAGGATAAAAGCGCAAATGAAAGAATTTATCGCAATCCTTTTCTTCCTAGAGTTGGGACAGGAGCAGCTGTATTGAATATAGTGTATAAAACAATCTCGAAAGCTCCGAATAGAAAGCTTTTTTTCAAAATGCTTTGGTGCAAGACTTCTGTATCAACTAGATGACTATATGACTCATTTCATTATAGATAGCTGAAAGATGAGTTTCATGCTTGCAAATGATAGGCTTGATGCAAATTTATGCTAGCTTTAGTCATTGACGAACAAGATCTGCAGAGTTAGAGGAAATTAGTCTGACTGTGGATGGTTAGGCACAGAAAGGCGAAATAAAGTGTTTGGATCTAATTTGAAATTTAGTATCTTGAATATGACCCGATACTGTGTCAAGAAGATAGGATAGCCTTAGATTACGAAATCGGCGATCATTTCAAGTTCAAATGAAAAGAGATTTCTGGATTCCCAGAGCCTGCTACAGTCTATGTCGACTTTATAAAAGGTAAAGTGTAAAAGTGACTCGTCATTAAATTATTGTAAGTTGTAATATTCTTCACTTCCAATTTGTTCATCAATTTGATGTGCTTTAGAAAGAGGAAGTCTTGTATTTTCTGAATATTATATTATTGATGTTGAATTATTGTTGGCATAGCAGAGCGACATGACCTGACAAAAAATGCGCATTTCAAATGTTATTTTGCAGTCGCTACGTATGCCAGAAAGTCTAATAATACTAATTTTCATCGTTTTCGTGATCTGGTCCGGAGAGATGAACAGAGAGAGCAAGTAAATACTTTCGACTTGTTCAAAAAGGTCTGTTCAAGGCTAGAAACCTTCTTATGAAAGGTCATCAATGACAAGGTTTCTTCGAGCAAAGTCTGACGTCACAGTCAAGCCACGAATGACACCTTATATAGGGTGTCCCAAAAGTAAGTACACAATTCTCAATCGTTAGTGACTCTCTTTTAACGAAGTCTTTATGCTTAGCTTTGAGTACCAATGAGTAGAGCAGGCTTCAGCTTGGATTTTCTGTATAGAGCGAATCACGCGCCTTTTTGCATTACTGTATTATTACGGTAGGAACTTTAAAAAGGGTTTTGAGCCATCAGTGGCCATTTCCCTAGAATAATATTTAACAAGCTAAAATCTTTATCATTAAGCTAGAATGAGTCGCGCCATGAGGTTCGCATTTCACGTGAGACTTTTTTCATAAGATATGCCAGATAAACAGCAACAACGTTTGTTATTTACAAAAATGTGATTAAAATATTTAATCGCTGCTAAAGTAGCGAAGAGCGATGGATAGCTTGCTCCAATATAACATACAATAAATCTAAGCTGAAACCTGCTCTACTAAATGGTACTCGAAACTAAGCAAAAGGCTTTTTGGCAAAAGAGTTGTTAAAGATTAAAAAGTGTGTACTTACTTTTGGGGCACCCTGTATATAATAGCCAATTTGATCCATTTCTTGTGTCACGTTCACCTGCCACCTGTCCAGCTTCTCCCATTTACCTCTATTCTTCCACATTTCTTTTCGTAAACGATACTTTATGCGTTCTTCAACACTTTTTGTTGTGTCGCTGCAGCATCATAGTTGGCCCAATAAGGCGATATAAAAGAAAAAACATGCCCTTATTTCGTTTCGAGCAAAAGCTACGATGACTTCAAGCTTTTACAATGCTGTGTCTTCGAACAGCACAGATTCAGAAAAAGAAATTGGTTTTTGGTCATGATTTTTAACGAGTCAACCAGGGAATAGAATGCGCACAGACTAATAAAATGAAATGTTGTGAATCACTGAGTTTTAACAAGTGATGATTCTCAAGAGTGATATTTTTTACTATGAATAAGCTATTCTTTTCTTATTGTCATAATTTTTGATGGATGAGTTTGGTTTTCCTCTGGCAAGATTATAAAAAAGTTTGATTACCCGTGGTGAGTGATTACGTCAGAGTGTTGGTTAAGCCGAAAAGGCGTATGACACGGAAGCTCCGATATAAGATGAAGATTAAATAAATGCAGTATATCATGTTTCGTAATGGTCATGAAGATTAAATAAAAGCTAAAGAAAGAAAATACCGACAAGCACCCAAATTTGCTAGTCCCAAAATGTTGATTTTTTTGAGCCATCGCTCAATTTTGAGTTATGTGCTACAAGTATTCTCAGGCATTCTTCAGAGATATTTCACTATTTCTTGTACTGGTCACAGTATATAGCTATGATAATAGCATAACTAAGAACTGTTTGAAGTCTAATTTCTCATATTAACATTAAATTTGAACCAAAAATGCTCAAATCTTTGAGGAATACGGTTCTCTTCAACTTTATAGCTGCATAGTCGAGGAAGCAAAGAAATCTATTTCCAACAGGAAATTGCGCTTTTTCAGATAGCAGTTATCAAGTTTCACATACGTATTCCTCAAGATCTCAAAAACCCTTACATTTTACTATTCTCAACGATTTCAGTCGATGTGCTTTTAAGAGGAGAAAAATTATCCGTTTTTTGGTGGTTAGAAGCTTAGACCTTTGTTGGCATATTGCGGCAATACTAGCTAGTAAAAGAAAACATGCAGAATGGTGAAATTTCAAATTGTGTTGCATAAAATGTCCAATTAATGTAAATATAGTTCTTGTCAAGTTCTTATGGCCTACTCTTTCTAAACAAGCCTAATGCTATCTGGTCAAGTTCCTCCAAAATTAGTTTAAAATTTTTTTTACTCACTGCTTTCAATCTAAAAAGCCGTAATATAGATAACAAAACACGTCCTTCCTTAGGCAGAACAAGGAATTTATGCTATCCTAGAGAAAAAATCCTTTTTCAAAAGGGTTTGGTGAAGATTTATGGTCTAGTGCATCCTATTATCTTAAAGTCAATGCGAACCTCGATTTAGATTATTAAAAACAGAATTCTAAAAAATTTGTGAGCAGTTGCAAGTTCACAGAATAAGCGTAAAATTGCAAGCAATTGAGATCCAATACAAACAATTGAGTTATTATTGATATAGTTATTTAAACCTACCAGCGATACTAGCTCTCCTTGACGACTGAGTTCGTCTTCCATTAGCCATGAGTGGTGAGCTGCCTAAACTCATCTTGCGTCGGCTGATGAGCCGAGCTCGGCTCACCTCAGCGCCCTCTGGCACCGCCAATGTCATCGATCTGAAAGAAGCTATTTACAGGTAAAGAGGGTTAGAGAGCACTTCTAGGTAGGGATTATGATGTGATGAACTTTAGGGAAAAAGTGTTAAGCTCTAACATGCAAAATACACATAAATTTGGATTTAGATCGTTTGAAAGTTTTTTCATTTCATTTTCGGAAATTGTGACTACTGGCTACCTCAACAGATTTGCTTCTTTGTAATTTTATTAGAAAGTAGAGGTCCTGGGCCATGTAACAGTGTTTTTGGCTCTGCTTAACACTAATGCAAAGGTAAAACTAAATGAAGAAGACCATTCAAGCTTTTACCATTGGGAGTTAGGTTGGCAAAAATCTAAAACGTTAGGAAGAAACTCTACATTTCTCAGTATATAAGCTATATGGCCTACTCTGTCTAGATAAATAACGGTCCCTGTTGATTGTGCCTTACTACAAAAAGACGAATGGTGATTCTGAGGAATGACAAAGCACCGGAGTTAATTTGTTTGATACTCTTCTCCCTTCAAAAGTCCTGTCCTTCCATGTACTCTTCCGACTAGCGACAATTATTATCACTCAAATAGACTAAGTTATAAAATATTTATACATATTACATATTTTTCCTGTAAGATTTCCTATTTCTGGTAACCTAGATCATAATTATGCGAGCATAGCTGGTCTTCTTCCAATTTTCTTTTTACAATCAGTATTTACCGGGTTGGCGCGAAAGTCTTGTCACACTAAATTCAACAGTTCATAACTTCTATTTTTCCAAGACTATTTGCAGAGAATTATTTTTACGAGAAAGAGGAGGTCATGCGCTTTACAGTCATTCACGGATAGAGATATGAATCGTAAAGAAAATCACTTCATACATTGTTCGTGTGTAGAATCGTTAAAAATCAGAAACTTACACCAAAAATCGGAACAGTGGCTCTTTCGATCTTAGCAAAGTTTGTGTTGATTGAGCTCTTCTTTAAAATGCTATGATTTTCAAGCAAGCAATACAAAACGGCAAATTTGACTTGTTTTGACATTCTTCTTTGAAATCATATTATAACTTTCATACGAACATTTCCATCGACAGAAAAGTTGCTCAGATAGAAAGAGCAGCTCACAATGATACTACCGCTTATTGTACCAGTTTCAATTTTTGACGGTTCTACACAGAAAACTAAAAATTTGAGTAGTTTTCTCGAAGCGTTATGGGAGGCCGTTTGCTTTACAGAAACAGCTTGAAGCTGTTTCTGTAAAGCAAATGATGTTCTCGTTCTAGTACAATTATATGCTCCGAAATAGAAAGATGTTACGAATTCTAAAAATAGTGCGACAAACCTTCGGACCAACCTACTAGAAGTTTTCCAAAAGGACCACCACAAAGCTGGTCATTTCTACTTTCTAACAAAATTACAATGAAGCATCGGTAAACAACTCAATCTTCGTGGCGGCCTAATACGATGGAAGATTAGCTCAGAATTTAACGTGCATGCTTAATAAACATCAAAGGGTAAACATTTTGGAATTCAGCGCCCTCAGCTGGCTGAGAATAAGCGCCGACCCATTCGACTTTGCATATCGAAGAGGGGCGAACGAATGGGGAATGGACCATCATTTGCTGAAGCCCGATTATTAGATCAATGCTTTTAGCCTTCCGAGGAACTCTGGGGCTAATATCCAAGTACATGGACGTAGGTACTACTCAATAGAATAGAATGAAGCTTTAGGAAAATCAATCGATCATGGTCAGTAAAAAATAAAAACTCGGAAAAGATGCTTAACTGCATCTACAAATGCATATTATGTATCTTTATTTTTGTGATTATACTCTTAGTGCACCATTTAGACTATAAAATATTGCTAGTACGGACACTGTTGTTAATAATATCGTATCAGTGCGGTTTCACCTTTTAATACAAATATTACTACAATTTGTTTGAAATACATATATTATGTTAGTAATAATTGAAAGTTTATGTGAGTTATTGATGCAAAACTACAAAAAAGTGTAACATCCCAAGCTTTCCTCAATGTGTATATTCAGAGCTAAGAAAAAAAGCGATGCGAAATAATTTGTATCGCAAATATCAAAGTTTTATCAATAAAAAGCATAACATGCCTATGTATTTCGGTCTTCGTTTTCCCATTCGCCTGTCGATTAAAGTTTCCGAATTCTCTAGCAAACATGGTGTAATGCAGGAAACTTGTATAGATGGAATAAAATAGGAAATTTTTTTAGTTAAAGCTGCAAAAGAAAAATTTGGCTGTAAAATCAATGTGTACAGCCCTATGAGAACTTCAATATTGTGAATCTCAAGAAAATTGGAGCATAAAGAAAAATAAGCAAAAGGCTAGGTACACATTGATATTTCACGAAAGAATGAATGCAGAACATGTGTCTTGTAACCAGGAACATTCGTTGTTCCTAAGTCAGCACATCTCTATATCACAAAAGAAAGAAATTTTTTGAGTAGGAAGACCTACAGTAATCTGTATTCTCTTTGACGATTACTTTCTTGGCAAATTCAAAGCGCATTTTTTGAACTTTAGCTCATTAGCAAACTTTTTATTCGCTTACAAAGCAGGAAAAGTTGTTTTCGAGCTTTCTTTATTTCTTCTCTGCGCAAAAACGATGGACACGCACTAATTGGCTTTTGAATATTCAACGCAAGCTTTATATCACATAATGTCATTTGTTTCAAATATTCATACCAATCCAATATGTCGTGATAATATCTAGTTGTAACAGATTGAGAAAACCATGTAGCTATTCTTTTCCACAAAAACTCAAAAGGGCGCGAGAGCAAAAATACTCTTACAAAAAAATCATTGTTAGAAAAATTATTTGGAACTGGGATGCTCCTATCCAAAGAAAAGTGCTATTTACCTTTCCATTTTTGGCTCGCATTTGCACATATTAGGCCTCGGGCATACCTCACGCGATTTCAGTCGCCACGCAATTTGGCAATACTCCAAATGTTCATAACTCATCCTATGGGGTTTCTGAATGTACGGAAGAGGGGGCATTTTATCAACCTACGAAAGTTATACATGCTGTGCATTTGAGGTCTTCCAGTATTGAATTTGAAGACATATGGCAAATTGCCAGATCGCGTGGCGACTGAAATCGCGTGAGGTATGTCCCTTGCCTTACGGGTCACAGGGACCGACGACCTGTTTTTCTCTAAATATAGATATGTCAAACCCTCTTCTCACTTAGGGACTAGTGCTTGAACAGAAACCGCGGAAATACAAAAAATATTCTTGGCTAGACTTCAATCCAAGTACTTATCTATCGACCGTATATAAACGGTGGCCCATACCACAAACACAGTTTGTGATGTCACAAAAAGTTGGATCTTTCTGTTATCATTGACACTTCAGTTTTGCACTTTCATAAAAAAACAACATTAATCTGAGTCGATCTTGAAGGTGCCGATAATCTCATCGGTATTTCTTACGCTGTGATTTGAGGATTCGTCATGTACTTCTACAGTTGGCTTCTCAAGTCCAACTCTGTATATTATAAATTAGAACCTAAAGCAATCAATTCACGGGTTAAGCCTATAAATTGCTTGCGCTGTTATTTTGTAGGTGACACAAAGAAACAAAAAAAAATTATACTTGCTTAGTACATAAAGGGTGTCTTAAAAAATGTGCTTACTATTTGATTGTTAAAAACTCTCTTTCGAGAACCTTCAGATGCCATTTTGTAGAGCTGGCTTCAACTTAGATTTGCAGTATGGTGCGAATCCAAAATCCCTCTTTATTACTGTTGGAACTATGAGAGTTTTTCAGTAAATAAGGGTCATATTTTACTTCTTATAGAACTAAAGAAGCAAAAAGCTCCTGTACTAAGTTAATCAGGGCCGCTGATTCCAATCATGAAACTTGCTTTTCACCTAACGCATTTTTTATAAGTCATGCCAGATATATCACAACAACCGATTTTATATATAAACTTGAATGTGTGTATGTATGTCTGTATGTACGTATGTGCGGAATAGAAATTTTTATTTCTGGACCGATTTGGACCAAACTTGGCACACATATACTTCGGGGCAGGGAGCGTGTCATAGGCTACTTTTCGTTATCGATCGATATCGATTTTATCGATTTTTTGCAAAATTTGAGCTACGGGGCTGGGAGTTGGCACAGGGGGGTAATCGAGCATGCTGATTACGAATATAATAATGACAGGGCCGGGCGGAGCCGGGTTTGCCAGCTAGTTTCTGATATTCGTCAAAAATCTGATTAGGCCACTCAAAAAGCTCTATGAAAGCGAAAAATTTTGTACTAAAATCAGCATGCATGAAAAGTTGTTAACAATTTTTCGGGTTTTTGAGGATTTTTTTGCAAACGGCGTTTTTCACAGTGGCGCCATGTGCTACAAGTTCCTACTGTGCTCCTATAGTAATGAAGGTAGATTCTTAATTCGCTTCATACTGTAAAACTAAATTGAAACCACCTCCACAAGGTAAATAAAACTTGTCGAAAAACTTCATTACAAGGGATTTATTAACAATCAAACATTTGGGATACCCTGTAATTCATTAGATTGTCTCAAGCTATCTCATAACAAGAGCGGCAAGAATGTAATATTCGCTTATTATTATTATTAGATTGGAACACAAATGGTGCACTTCAAATATGAAGTAGGCAATTATAAATTGTACTAATAAACAATGTTTTAAACTTTCAGAGATTGTCGAAAAAATCTTCAAAGTATAGCTCGCTTGAGCTGCAGAAACTTCAAGACGGATAAGATTTTTTGCACAGAGAATAAAAACTCGTACTTTTGTACATGTCTGAACATTCCAATAGACAATAGATTTAACACACCGACGACAGGTTTACTGAACGCTTAGGTTTATGTTGACAATGAGATTTATGAGATGAAAAACTAAAGAAATACTAGCACCCATAGTGTATTCAGCTGCCACGAGCCGGCTCGAGGTCCACAGCCGTCATGTGTTGCTTCAAGAAATCAGAGAGCTCGAAAATTTGGAAATGAAGGTTTTTAGGAAATTCGAAATGGCGCTAAGAGATTTTGCTGCAAAAGGTGCAGGCACATATCTAGACACAGGGAGATCTCTGAAATTTTCGCAGACAATAAATTTGATGGCTAATCAACATTAAGGGAATGAATAGATGAATGGAAATCGCAAAGCGGCTACTTCGTGAACAAAATTACGTACAATTGGGTTGAAGGATTTGCTGAATGGGCTCTGTATTGTGAAGATTGATCCGCAAGCAATTAGCTAACATGTGGCACTGCAGAGAATGATGATCGAAAAACATTGCGTCCAGCGCTTTTGACAATTGTAAGAAAACATATTTTATGGAAGAAAACCAGAATTTTTCTCAGTCACTAAAGGATCACTTCTATGAACGAGATCAAGTGCACTTTAACGGCGCCTGAGCTCAAAGTCGAAGAAATCGGAGGTTATAAATCTCAGCGCTGCAAACAACAATAACAGCTTGCTGAGGCTGTGTACTCCTTGATATTTGGACCTTCGGTTTGGACACCTTCAAGAGAGCAAAACTTCCTAGACTGTAACTGATCTTCCTTTTGAGAAATGAGCCTAGAGTTTTCTTTGCAATTGTCTATCTATGATCATATCCATCATTATAATCTTGCCTTTTAAGCATATCTCCAAATCAGTGGCTTACTCAGGATTTCCACTCGGAAAGGGGGGGGGGGAACGGCAAAATTTTTTTTGAATAAAGGTATGTGCCTTTAGGCACGCACTTCGAAATTTCTTGCTGGCTGCGGCAGCCAAGCCACCGAGAAGTCTTTTAGGAGGTTAATTTAAACATTCAAAAGTTTCTAAGAATTATTCAAATCATTATACAGGTAGAAGCAGTCACTTGCACATTTTTATAACCCATGTACGTAATTTTCAAAAATTTTGCGACCCATTCTACGGGAGAGGGGGGGGGGAGCACCCCAAGCTTACACTTTTAACCCTTACTCCAGCGCAATATACTTATATTCACGTCTAGCTAGAACTTTGCGCGTTTACGCAGCAGACCTTCAGAATTATTCTGTAAGGATGGCGGCAACTCAGTTTTACAGTACCAAATAGATCATAAATCCTTTTTCATTTTATGTCGTTACTCTTTGGTTCCTTACGGTTTGTAACGGGACAGCATCATCTTACAAGAGTGTTTTTGAACGTAATGATGCAGTCATCGTTTGCTGGTTATTTTCATCTGGTCGAGCGTAAACAAAGGTGAATCTCTTGGTGTCTCTTGAACCTATTTTGGAGTTTACCACCCGTTTTAAGACACTGTGTGAGCAGTCAAATGTATTTGGAAAAAATGCGCATTGACGGTATCTAGCCAAGGCAAAGCGAGCTCCGTCAAAATACTTTCTGTGGGAACTTGGGAGCACTTTGCTTCTTCTAAAGACTTTACTGTTTAGTCAATTTCACCTGGTGTAGAGCGCTGTAGAGGAGTACCAAGTTGTTCACCTTTATCATTACGCAATCGTTCTGCAATCTTTGTCTACTAACAAGGAGAGAATACTTAGTCAAAAGCACCAATCCAGATGAGACATATATCATCTTAAAGCGCTTGAAACGCTGATTCCAAATCTGCAGTTTCTAGCTGCGGAGCGGTTTTGTAGAGGGAGTAATGAGGGGTGTTCCTCTGGGGTTGAGGCGCCCTTCACGTCTCCCCTACTTATGAGCGCTGTAGAGGAGTACCAACTGGTGGCAACTGACCTAGTGGTAAGTGACGTGCTTGATAAAGAGAGTGCCAAGGTTTTAATCCCCTTCGCATGCTAAATTGGACTTCTAAATGGCTTTAGAGCCCTAAAGCATGAAACCTCTGATGATATTGATACTAATCGAAGTTAGAAGTGTTAAAAAAACCAAAGTGATATGAGTATTATAATCTTTACTGTAATCTTCATTCAAGTTACTTACCATTAGGTCAGTTGCCATCAGCTGATACTCCTCTACAGTGCTTACAGATAAGGGGAGACCGCTGGAGGGCGCCTAAACCCCAGAGGGGAACACCCTTTATAACTCCTTCTACAAAACCGCTCCGCAGCTAGAAACTGCAGATTTGGAATCAGCGTTTCAAGCGCTTTAAGATGATATATGTCTTATCTAGATTGGTGCTTTCGACTAAGTATCCTCTCCTTGTAAGTAAAAGTTTATGAGAGTCAAATTTTGATA